AATATGTTTCCTGTATTCAAACAGACAGGTTTTCATTGATTTCTGTTTACACTTTTTGAGATGCTTACATGCAGCATTGGTCAGAAAGGTTATGAGTATGATGAAAAAGAATTCATGAACAATATTTTCTACTGCAGTTTTTAGCATAAGCTCTGACTGAATAAGAAAATGAATTGATGAGTGATAAATTGATAACACTTTGAAACCAATTGGCAGCATTTATCTTAACAGTTTGTAAATAAGTAAAAGTAAAACAAAACAAAACTCGCTTGAGAAAAAATGAATCAAATTCTCACAGCATTTGCAAGAAGAGGAAAAATTAAAAAAAAAGTGTTTCATCATCTGCCAGAGAATGCATTTTTTGGCCTCCAGCAGAGCAAAAATTGCAAATTTATTGCTCACGCATTTTCTTCGCAGTTTTCTAATTTTCAATCCTGCATAATTTTTTTGCAGCTGCCTTTTATTGCATCAAACCGCTTCCACCTTCTCTGCAGGCAATTCGTTTGTATACTACAACCATTGGCAGCATTTTCCTTAGTAACCAGTTGTTTTCTTTCTCCCTGCCAATAAAAATGACCAGAACAAAAGTATGAAATGTTTTCATTTAGTCATGTTGATCTTTTTGATGAAATGAAAATATTGGTATCATGACTGGTTTATTCATTCCTTGCAGCAGACATTTCATTCATCTGGACAGTTCACAATATAGGGGGAATAGAAATATGTTTCCTGTATTCAAACAGACAGGTTTTCATTGATTTCTGTTTACACTTTTTGAGATGCTTACATGCAGCATTGGGAATAAAGGTTATGAGTATGATGAAAAAGAATTCATGAACAATATTTTCTACTGCAGTTTTTAGCATAAGCTCTGACTGAATAAGAAAATGAATTGATGAGTGATTAATTGATAACACTTTGAAACCAATATTCAGCATTTATCTTAACAGTTTGTAAATAAGTAAAAGTAAAACAAAACAAAACTCGCTTGAGAAAAAAATGAATCAAATTCTCACAGCATTTGCAAGAAGAGGAAAAATTAAAAAAAAGTGTTTCATCATCTGCCAGAGAATGCATTTTTTGGCCTCCAGCAGAGCAAAAATTGCAAATTTATTGCTCACGCATTTTCTTCGCAGTTTTCTAATTTTCAATCCTGCATAATTTTTTTGCAGCTGCCTTTTATTGCATCAAACCGCTTCCACCTTCTCTGCAGGCAATTCGTTTGTATACTACAACCATTGGCAGCATTTTCCTTAGTAACCAGTTGTTTTCTTTCTCCCTGCCAATAAAAATGACCAGAACAAAAGTCTTCATTCATCTACTGTACTGAACATTAAAGAAAATATAAGAGGGATTACATTTTAACAATTCTCCTGCTGAGCAGATATTTGCATAATTGTTTTTTCTATCCTCTGCTACTTGGGTGGTTAACTTGACATTTTGAATTGAATGAAAAACAAATGCATTCAATTCTTTCCAAGTTTTGTACAGCTAATCTTTTTGAAGATGGAGTACTGTTATCCTAAGTTGTCAGAATTGATCAAGCCAACTACAAACATATTGAATGTCATTCTTTTTAGATAAATTCACCTTGATTTGATATCACCCATTATAGAATAACATTGTTGGGTCACCAAGAGAGGGCATCAGGCAACCAGCAAAGAATGATCACCAGGTGAAGGACCCAGATGTGTGTGGCAGCAAGTGATGTAGCAGGAAATCCCTGCTGCAAAACTGGTTTGCCAATTCTGAGGCAAACCAGTGGCAAGAGGAGAGGAGGAGAAAATGGAGTTTGGGCTTCCAAAGCACAGAAAGTCCTCATTCTGAAGGTAGCTCTTGTGGAAGTAGGACTCTGCTGATTGACATGTTTGTGTAACAACATTGTTGGTTCACCCAGAGAGGGCACCAGGCAACCAAAGAATGATCACCAGGTGAAGGACCCAGATGTGTGTGGCAGCAAGTGATGTAGCAGGAAATCCCTGCTGCAAAACTGGTTTGCCAATTCTGAGGCAAACCAGTGGCAAGAGGAGAGGAGGAGAAATTGGAGTTTGGGCTTCCAAAGCACAGAAAATCCTCATTCTGAAGGTAGCTCTTGTGGAAGTAGGACTCTGCTGATTGACATGTTTGTGTGTGTGTGTGTTTGTGTGTGTGCTCTGATCTGAGTTGTCAAATTATTCTTGCCCCCATTGTGCCATGTTTGTTCCTTTTCTGTTGTATGCTTCTTTGGAAGAGTAGAAGATATTTCAAAGGGCCCCTCTTTAAGAAATACCTGGCCACCTAACAGCTGATTGACATCTTGAATTATTTCTTCTGCATTTCTCAAACCTTTGTTGTTTACAACTTGACAAATGTAAGTCAAGAAGTATTATTTCTTATGGCCAGGGGAACATGAGTGAATGAACTTCTTGCTTAGTGAAAGCAAATGTATGCACAGTGAAAACACTGGCAGATGCAGACATAATTGGTGCATCAAGCATGTCCCTGAGTCAAAATGTCTCTAAGTCAAATCTCATTTTCCCATAGACTTACATTAAATAATTTTTAATGTATGTTTTATGGAAGAAATACTCTTCAGAATTCCATGAAAATGTTTTTTCTTCTTGAATTTGATTCAGTGAAACATTTTAAACTCAATAAGAACACTGAGAGCATTGAATAGTGTACAGTACATTATTGAAATGCTGGCATCTGTAAAAATGACATTCAAGTCACAAAGAGAGAAAGAAGTCCCCCTATGCTATAGGTTACTTTTAAAATTTGGTAAAGAACACTGAGAGCATTGAATAGTGTACAGTACATTATTGAAATGCTGGCATCTGTAAAAATGACATTCAAGTCACAAAGAGAGAAAGAAGTCCCCCTATGCTGTAGCTTACTTTTAAAATTTGGTGAAAGGATGGAAAAATTATGGGAGAAATTCCAAAGATTTTGTCTTGCATATAGACCTTAGGATATTGGAAATATGTGTTTCTTGCAATAGACCCCAATAAAAGTCAATTTTCTTGGAATTTTTTGGTACTTTTATCATGCAATGTCTACATGTCAAGTCAGTGTCCAAATGTCAGGCTTTTTAAAAAAAAAAGTTCATATGTTGAATTGTCTGCATTTTGAGGTGTTTGCATGTGGGGGCCTCACTGCATTTTCCTGTTACAAAATATGCAACTAAGACCAGACCAACAATGAATACCTGGGGAGTATTTGGACACTCCTTTACAGATTCCAAGTTTCGGACAAGAAAGGTATACATGACTGTCCACAATGTAAATGGAACCAGGATGGTCAGAAGGCAAATGACCAGTGACCAGACATTCTGCAGATTTTGATTGTTGAGCAATACTGTTGCTAACCAAAAATGAGCAAGACTATGTGAAGGAAAAACCAAAAGAATGGAATAATGTTAATGCATTACAGGACACACTTGAACTTGAGAATGACAGTGCTGCAGTAAAATACATGTGAGGCAATTTTTTTTTTCTGAATAGCCTAGTTCAAATAATGCAAAATAAAACAAATGTCAATTGAGTCAATCAGAACGTATGCTATGAAGTTCTTGGCCAAGAGGGCCATTAAAATCTTCTCCAAGAGTAATGCAATGGCTGAAGAAAATAGGGGAATAAGTTCAAGTTTGAAAGCAACAAAAGCTTTTTTTCTTCTGGCTGTTGCAAAAGTAAAAAATAAAAATGTTGGAAGGCATTTCACCACAGCAGGGGGAAAATACTGGCTCAAAGGAAAGAAAAACATATCCTTGGAATTTGGAATTGCGCAGTTGTGTTTGCTCTACTGAAATCTGAAGTGTTGGAGATGGGAAAAGAATTGTACAACTGGATTTTTCATGAGTCAAACATGACTTTAAATTTTATGGTTCCCTGTGAAAAATATCCGAACAAATCCCATAACGTCAGCTGCACAGTTTTTCAGGAATTAAAACTGTAGCATATTTATCCAAACGTGTTACTTCTTTGAAAAGCGGTGCTGTACATACATTGGAAATTGATATCTTCTATATATACTTATTATTTCAGACATTAGTTGAATTTACTGTATGAAACTTTTTCCGCTACTTTTACAAAGGTGACACATATTTTAACTCACTTTTGTTCCTTCAAAATTTAATTAAACAAAATATTTTCAGCACTTCAGTAATTCAGTTTTCAGTTGAGCAAAATGAACTGCACTGGATTCCCAAGGAATTGTTTTCTTCCTTTGAAAAAATACTGTATTTCCCCCTGCTGTGTTGAAATGTATGCACTTGTTCAGTATTTATTTTTTGCCGTTGAAAACGCTGCTCATCCATCCAGTTCTTACCTAAGTCAGAAGGGAAAATGTTCTTTGATGCTTGCAAACTTGAAATGATTTTATCTGTCTTTCACAAATTGCATTGTTTATCTGGAGGAAAACAATTATATGTGCCTCGTTGCTGGAAAACAGCATGGGATGTCCTGAAATTTGTTTATTTGTTGTGAGCCTATTTAGGAATCCAAAATAAGATGTTTTTCAACTGTGAAACAAAAGTTGATGCTCAGATTAAAAAAAAAACAAGTCTCCAGGGCTAGCTGTGCATGCTGTAATGTAAATTTACAGTACAGTACATAAAATAGTGCACAGCAATTTTTTGAAGGTCATAATAATATTCTTGGTCAAATGGTTGATTCTTCATTTATACTTTTTCGCGAATTGGTTGACAAATGTCTGATTTCTGCAAGAGGTTAAAAAAATCCCTAAGTGGTTTCATCTGCTATGAATACTGTAGTTACCACATACAGTAGTAGGTACCATCAGGAAACAACTGCTGATACCGTGCATGTTGTTCGGTACGCCATCATTCGCCCTTGAGTACGGTACCTTGATAGGGATACGGGGTTTTTTTGCGCGATTCTCTGGTGTTCTCGTGATTTACAGTGATCAGATGAGGCTGTATGTCGAAGAGTTGACGTCCATCGAAGCTGTCGTTGTCTTGTTCGCCATTTTCATCACTCTCATGAAGTTGTTGACTTGCTTTCAGATGACGACTAAATGAGATCAGTATTCCGTAGCGTTGTGTTTTGTACAGTATTGTGATCTCGACATGGAGGAACTTCCTGGACGAATTTTCCGTCTATCGTGCAGAGAATTGGAATAAGTGAGTGCTTAACCTCGGAGTACGATGAGATTATTTTTATTTGAGAATTTTCTTCGGTTCGCTTCGTTTTGAAGGTAGTAACGGGCGCTCGTGATCATGAAGCTCTGCTGGTGGTTTCGTCCATGTGAGTGATTGTGAGTAACGAAGAATTTGGAGCTATCCTAACTAGGATAGCTCCAAGAATTTTATTGATTCGATTGTGCGGCTTGATTCGGAGATCTTATTACTCTAGATAATGGATTTAAAACCATGAAATACTGAATGCGTGTACGAACGAGGCTCACGATGGGAGACCAGCCGTATCTGTGGCACATGGTGCCATCAGTGCCTTTCTACGACGTCCACGGGGGCCCTCAGCCGATGCCTCGGAGACCCGTGGTTCGCAATGCGTCCGCAGACAGCCTTCTCAGCTCTCCCTACGGATATTCCTTCGGACCACCACTGGTAGATCCAACTTACGACGATGTTGGCATCCCAATTATCCCGCCACCTAATGTCGTCGAACCCGTCATACATGGTAGGCCTTATGTTCCTCCGCATCCCGCTCCACGTCAACGGCAGCAAATCCCGAGGAACCATTCAGTGCAATTCAGGTAAGTTTTGTTTGTAATGCTTGGAAAAAATTCTCATCTTCTAGAGTATACGGCTTCGGGATTGAATGGAATAGAACCTCGATAACGCGAACCTTCCTATGTCAAACTTTTGTCAAGTCCCTGTCTGAATCCCTGTAGAAACAATGCCTTAAAGATCTGCCTAAATCAACGGTTACTACCCTGAAACTTCCATAACTCGAATTTTTTGGAGGCCTTTTCGCCATCATTTTATCGACATAAGGAAGATAAAAGCAATAAAAATGTAATTTGATGCGTTTTGAAAGGAAGTGAGACTGATAGTGCCATTGTCTCGAAGTAACTCATCAAAGAAGGCCTAGAAAATCAATTACACTTTCCTGTAATCTTTCTTTCTCTCACCACGACCAAAATGCTTTTTTCATGAACGCAAAGCCTTCCCAAGTCGAATTATTCTTATTTTTTGCTGGTCACTTGAAATTCAACTTGGAGTGGTTCGACTGCACTGTAGTACATTTTTCATGTGTTTTGGGAATGACCTTTTTTTGCAATTGAACGTTTCAGAGACGTTGAATGCGTGCCGACGTTCGTGGCGCCTCGGGAAAAGCCGCGACGAATAGCGCCGCAACCGCCTATGCAAGAGCCGCCTCGAATGCCACCTCCTTACCGCCCGCCGCCTGAACCCCCCGGAAGGCCATCGGCGCCGAAACCAGCCCCAGTAATCGGCCTGGATCCCGGCCCGCCGCCACAAGCACCGCCACGACGCAGGCACTCGCAGGGCAACCTGTCCCTAGCCTCTTCCCACCACGTATCTTCTGCCAGTGTCGATTGTTTAGATGGTTCTGTAGAGGACCTGAAGATATCCGTTCGTGATCGGAAAAAGCTCTTCGACAGCTTCTCCTCTGAGAACTTGCTCTCGACGACGACGACGGCGCCGTCGTCGTCTCACGCTCGGAAGCAGGCACAGTCTCGGGGATCCGTGGGATCCCAGGATCAATCTGCAAGACAATTCGCTCTGGCCTGTGCAGTGAATGACGTGGATAAGATCCTGTCGATGATTGCCGAGTGTCCGGCTTTGGCCCAGTGGAGGGATCCCGTCACGGGTTACGCTGCAATCCACTGGGCCGCGAGGAAAGGCAATGTGGACATTTTGAAGGCTCTGGCGGAGACGGAGGGTTTCGATGCGAATGCCAAGACGTGTAGTGGGTACACGGCATTGCATCTGGCGGCGCAGTTCAACCGCGATGATTTTTACCAAGTGCTTCTCGGGGAACTGGGAGCCGATGCCAGTATGCGGGATTTCAGTGGGAGAAAGCCTCATCAGTACCGGTGAGTTGTGTGGGATAGTGTGAATTCATGACTGGAAGTGTGATCTGGTGTGACAGTTGAACCTCGATAAGTCAAACATCGCCTACGTTGAATTTTTCTCGGGTTCCTCTCTGAAATCCCGTGGAACTAGTGCGTTAGAAACCTCCTGAACTCGATGGCACGAATTTCCGGGAGGCTCTTATTCTATTGACGCAGGAGAGAGAAAAGCAATGAAATTGTGACTCGATGTGCTGTGAAAGGAAGTGAAAGACCAATTGGGCGAATGAATCCTCGCCTCCAAGTCCAGCATCCTCTCAACTCATATAAGAAGCAATTTAAAGCAAAAAAATTAATCAAGATTTCGTGTAATTCCTCGTTTCCTCCCGCAAAGATACTTGTTTTCCTAGCTCGAATTGTTTTGCTGGTCCCTTGAGAGATTTTGGACTGTATCGTCGCGTCCGTGTTCCAGTGGGATCCAATTTTGGCAGAGGCTGTGGCTTTTTGATGCAAATGAGTTGATCATGATCAATATAGGGTCTAGGCATATAGTACCTCGTAATGTGTAATGGATGTGTTCAGATGTATCCCTTGACCAGAATTTCCTGGTTTCATTTGGAAATCTTCGTTCAAGGACGCGCGTTCCTTAGTTTAAATGGAATTGAGATGAGAGGCATTCGTTCAGTGTATTTCTGCGTTGGTTGTCGCAATCGTCAGACGGTAGACAGCACGTTTTCTGACGAAACCTCAGTATTCTGGTATCTCGTGAATCCCTCAATTTTAATTGAAGTGAGGCATTGAAGCCATGTTGAGTGTGTTTCTGCGTCGGTTGTCGCAATGTCCGGACAAGTGCCAAGAGTTCTGTCGTGTGAATCCCTCGATTTAAGTTTAAGTGAGAGGCATTCAAGCCATTTTGAGTGTGTTTCTGCGTGGGTTGTCACCAGCGCCAGACAGTTGACGCGTCTTTCGAGCTTTCTATGTATCCCTAACTGCAATTTTCTGGTATCACGTGAATTTTATTGAGAGGTATTCAAGCCATTTTTGAGAGTTCCAGCGTTTGTTGTTGCAATTGCGGATAGTTGAAGAGATCGCCTCAACTTCTCTTTTTTCCGTAGACAAAAGCAAGAGGCGTCCATTTCCGCCAACGTCCTCAGTCGCATCAACGTGCGGAAAACGCAGCACCAGCTCACCAGAGACCAAAAGCTGAACCGTTTCGGCTCCATCAACGTGCGCGTGAAGAAGACCGCCGAAGCCCTGAATCACATCATTGGCGGCAACAGCATCGCTAGGATCCTGCCGCCAGACAAGCGTCCCCTGAGTGTCGGTCTCACGGGCTCCACCAAGTCCCTGACGTCTTCCCTATCGTCGTCGCAGGAAGACAAGACCGTGCGACGGTTTTCCAGTGTCGAGCCGTCGGTCGAGCCCGGGGATGACGACGTCGCTTGTGGATTCGGGCGTGAATGGCGGGTCAAGGAGTGAGAGTGAAAAAACGCGCGAGGAGGAGGAGGAAAAAACCCCTGGTTGCCAACCCCCTTTTTTTTTGGGACGTCCTATTCCTCCAGACGGGTATATATTTTTTTTCATTGGCTTCTTGGAAACTGTGATCATGTGTTTTCTTTTGTTTTGGGAAACCTGTATGGGGAAAGGATTTATTTTGTTTTTTGGGATTCATCGCAGCCGTCATTTAAACAAATCTAACACAGAAACGGGAAATTTTAGGATTTTCGTTTAATTTTTTTTTTGCAACCGGGGTGTTTTGTGTGGAAATTCGTCCATCTGTGTGGCAGAAGAGAGTTGTGTTGAGCCAAAAACTGCTTTCTGAAGTATCTGTTTCACGGGTAAGGGACAAGCACCTTTATATGCAGTGATTGACCTCGATACTGGCTTTACGTTTTTGGCATGCACGCGTAATTTGTTGTATCGTGTGGTTTTTCTTCTTTTTTCTAGTGGATTTGTAGCTTGAAATCAGTTTAAACTCAGAATCTCCGAGTTTTACTGCTGGAATCAAAACTTGAAAGAAGAGTTACGCGTCTGACGGAGGACCACAACATTCCACCATTTTTAACGTGTAATCAAATTTCGATCCGTATTATTTTTGCATATTTTGTTTTTACTTTAAGTTTGTTGTTGTGATCGTTTGATCGGCGAGTGGAAGAAAAAGTGAAGTTGTTCTTCACATTTGGACAGATACCACATTTTTATGGATTTCCGGGAAACGAATCTTTGTTCTTTAGCGATAATTTTTCTTTTGACATCACGTGAGGATTTTAAAATTCATCAGTAACCTCTTCTTTTTTTATTCACTGGTTTGAGAATCTTGAGAAATAATTGGAAACTCCGAATCTCATGTTGAAGTATAAACTATAGACGTTTGTGAACTCGATTGACTGATCCACGACATGCAACTCTGTTTTGTTTTGTACTGTATCGAAAAATTTTGCTATACGCGAATGTTAGTTCATGTGATTACCGCGTCGATTCGTCCAGAAGTCATCACATTCACGGATTTTCTTGCGCCGTTTCGTCTCAGTATTCATTATTTGAATGAAGATCTAGAAAAACGTTGCCATGAAAATTGCTGGTGCTTGTTCCATTCGTGAACCACGTACTTCAGTGCAATGCGGAAAGCTGACTTTTGCTAAGCGATTCATTTTGAGGGTCAAGACTGCGGAACAGCGCGCTGTGAATTAAAAAAAAAAAAGAAACCGTGCCAATATGCGATTAACGTAAGACAATATGCATTTTTGTGTTTTTGTTGAAGAAAATGGTCCGCCCTGAGCTTGCGCTGTTGATGGAATTTTTTTTTTTGCGGAGTCGCTCGGAAACATTCCGTTATTTTTACGTTGAGTCTTCCAGGATGTGTGTGTATAGGAAGGAAAAAATGCCGCGTCTTCCGCTTGCGAATTGGAAATGCATCCTATTTGTCGTACTGATGTTGGAGATTATTGTTTTTGTGTTGCTGATGTTTTGAAGCTGCTGTGGGTTAAAGTGTTGATGTTGCAGGAGACGATGACAGTGCCAGTGGCTTTGTGTGACTTGGTGGGACTGAAGGAGAATGGCGAAGACTTGGTGACTGTGGAGTGTTCCGTGCCGACCGGGCTTGAAAGGTACGCAGTTGTTGAAGTGTTGGAGAAGTTCGGAGTCTCTGCCATGCAGGGTCGAGGAAAGATGTTCTTTGACGTGTCTGCGTCACGTTTGAGTGAGGTGAGCTCGTGATATTTTTACGAAAATACGATCGAACGTCTCTCTGTCGAACTTTCAAGTCTCTGTCCGAATTCCTTTGGAAACGATGCATTAACAACCTTCCTAATTTGAAACTTGTCCTTCTCAAACCTCCCCAACTCGAATTTTTCGTCTTTTTGGCCATTATTTTATTGACACAGGAAAGCAAAAAGGAATCAAAATATATTCTTTATGCGTTTCGAAAATAAATGAAAGACTAGTTCGGCAAATGAACCCTTACCACCTAGTTAATTCATTGAAGAAGCAATTTTGAAGCCCAGAATATCACGATTTTCGTCCTCCTTTCCACAAAGAGAAAATGCTAGTCTCCCGACCTCGAAAACCTTCCCGATTCGAATATTTGTGCTGGTCCGTTGAAATTCGACTTGGAGAAGTCCGACTGTGGAAATGATTGTTTTACTTTTGGAGAATTCTCCTGGGATTCATCCCGAACTGTGTTGACTGAAGAGTGATTGAACCCGTCTGAATCTCAATCGTAAGAAGAGCAATTCCTTGTGATGAATCCAGGTCTTGAGTCTTCGCTCAGTGGACAACGCGTACCTCGTGATCCACTATGTAAACGACATGCAATTCCCGGAAGACGGCTTGAAATGCTTGCAAATGATGTGCGAACGAGTGCCGAAAATTGACTGGAAACGCGGACTGGATGCTTGGAAACTTTGCGGCCGCAACCGCCGGGATTTGAACACCGATCCCAAGCCTGGCTACCCCGAGTCGCCATTTTATATCGTTGATGTGAACGCCGTGCAGCGACAGATAGAGGACTCCACTGCGAAGCGACTCGCTGCGAAGCAGCATCGCAGCAAAAAGCCGAACAGTGATGGACGCAGGAACAGGAACCATTTGAATCGAGTGCTGAAAGCTCCGCAGGAAAATGACTCGGGAAGTGACGGGTACCCGAGTTTCCGGGTGACGTGTCACCGAGCAGACGAAAGGAATGTTTCCGTGCCTGGTTTCGAGTCCCCGGAAGCTGCTTGCGAGTTTGGTGGTGCTGTGTTGAACTCTTTTGGTTGGCCCGTGCGGATGAAGGGCTTTGATCTGGAGGTCATGCTGAACATCGTGTATCGCAAGGTACTGGTGGACCCGATTGGTGATGGTGAAGAAGGGCGCAAGAAGCCCCTGGACACGGTTTACGTGGCGCTCAAGTTGAATGATGAGTCCATGTATCAGAGGAACGTGGTGGAGTTCGGGCCGACTACGATGAGAGCGACGATTGCGTTCGGGCTGGTGAAAGCGGGTCGGGTTTCAGTTGGAGACCTGGTGCTGGATCCGTTGTGTGGTTCTGGCGCGATTCCGATTGAGGTGGGTGGTGTGAACAGCATCAATTTGTAGCTGTGTACAGCAGTGTGTTGTCCAAATTCTGAAATTTCTGTAATTTTATGATTTTTGGAAGTGTGAGAGACAAAATTTTGTCTTAAGTACATGTCGTAGGCTTAGAACCACACGAAGTCGAATACCTTCATATTTCGAATACGTACGACTCCCTGTCTGAATTCCCTTTGAAATAATGCATTAAAAGCCTCCCGAACTCAAAAGCGTTCCTCCTTTAACCACGATAATGCAAATTTTCTGGAGACTATTATTTTATTGCCACAGGAAAGCAAAAAGCAATAAAAGGTAACTTGTTGTGTTTTGAAAGGAAGTCAAAGACTAATTAGGAAAATGAACCCTTGCATCCAAGCTCAACATTGTTTCAACTCATTTAAGGCCTAGAATATCGACAATTACAATTACCTGTAATTCTTCTTTCTTTCCTCCGACAAAAATCGAAACCTCCTCAACTTAAGATTTTGTTTCTGGTTCCGTGGAATTCGACTTGAAGAGGTTCGGCTGTATCTTGTTAACATCCTGAATTAATTTTGCCTGGATTTTGCAGGGAGCTATGGCATTTCCTGGGGCTGTGTTTTTCGCAAGTGACAATTTCGACGCAGCGCCTACGAGAACTGTGAAGAACATGGACCACGCAAATTCTACTGTTTCCGAGGATAAATTCCTCGGAGTTTTTCAAGGAGATGCGAAAAGAATCCCTCTTCGAGATTCCAGCTTGGATACAGTTGTCACAGATCTAGTGAGGATTTTGTTCCATCTGTATATTTTCCTTTCGTAACATCAAGAAATACTTTTTGAAACCCGGATTTGGCGCGCGGCGCATAGTCGTATATTTTTCGGTGCTCGCGCGGTTTAAAAATGGATGACCTTCTTGTTTGGGCTAGTTTCGAAGACGAACTGCGTAGAGGAGCATTTATTTGTTGCAGTAATTTTCGGCGCGTGTTTATTTGCAGCCGTTTGGCAAAAGGATGGGAAGCATTTCCGACAACCGGGTGTCTTACCGATATTTCCTGCTGGAGTTTGCCCGAGTGCTTCGCCCAAATAGTGGCACGTTGGTTTGTATCACCTATGACGTCAGATCACTCACGCAGGTGCATATACTCGATAAATATGAATACGATAAAGGGTTGGCCCGACATACGGACGATTCGTCTTGAAACGCAAAAAACATATGCCCCGAAATCTGGGTAGTGTCTCAAGGTATGGACACTTAGCCAACATATCAAGAAAATTGAAAAAACATTATTTTAAGAAATCTTGATGTCTCTTGAAAAAATTGAGCTGATCATATTTACGAAAGTTAAAATTAAATCTTATTACGAAGTTTTTTTTATCCATGTTGCCGATTTTGTGCTTCTCTATTCTGGGTCTGTTTGCATCATGTGTGCACAAAATGTAAGACATGTGCTTGTTTCTGCTTTTTGGGCTCCTTTCCATGCCAGAAGGACAGATTCTGTTGGGTTTTTTTTCTGGAACTTGAAGTTTAGCAAAATATTTTATTCAGATCCTTGGAGGACTTCTCCCAAATTGTTGATGTACAGGAGAACCAATTGAAAATGTTCCCATTGAAGTCTATGGCAAAATGTTGTCCAACATTGGGAAAATAAGGTATAAGAGCTAATTATGTCCACTTCTGTTGGGGACCCACTGTATTTCATTAATATTTGAGTAATAGTACTCTAAGTTGAACCTCAATAAGTCAAACCTCCCAAAGTCAGATTCTTTTAGTCCCTGTCTGAATTCCTTTAGAAATAATAGCCTTAAAAACCTCCCTAACTCAAAGGCTTTTTCTTGAAAACCTTCATAAGTTGAATTTTTGAGGCCTTCAGGTTATTTTATTGGAACAGGAAAGAAAAAAAAATTGAATTTGATGTGCTTTGTCAGTATTTGACTGACAAAATTAGGTAAATGAACCCCTGTCAACTCATTTTAGAAGCAACTTGAGGCCCAGAATATCACAATGTACAATTTAGTGCAATTCTTAAATGTTCTCACAATAAAAATGTGTGCTTCTATAAGTAAAACATCTATAATTCTTTGAAATTCAAAACCTCTGTAAGGTAGAACCTCCTCAAGTCAAATTTGTTCGCTGGTCCCTTGAATTTTGACTTCCTGTGTGTTGAAGGTTTTGAGCCTGGGGAATGTGAAGAAGCTGTGGAGCTGGGTACATGACCACCCTGTGAACATTGGTGGGCTGAAAGGTAAGGTATTCATCTGCCGTCGGTCAAAGGAGATGCCAGAAGAGCTGGATGCAGATTTGAGTGTCAGTTGAGGTCAAATACCAGAGTATCATGTCAAGTGATACTCCGTGATTGATGCTCCTTCCTTGAATTCGGTGGAGATGCTTGAAATTTTTTTTATGTCACCAAAATTTTGATTTGGTTGATAAATAAATTGCATTGCCATCCGACTGACCTTGTCTCTCTGGTTGTGAAAATGTATTGACCTAAGATTGAATCTAAGTACTGTACTGTAATGTCCCCAATTCAGCTAGAAAAGAGGACCAAATCTTCTCATCGACTTCTTGATTATTTTTCTGAAAATAGGGACAACGGCAAGTATATTCAAGGTACAAGGTACTTTCAAAAATGAAGCATTTGGAGGTAAGTTTCCAAATAAAAATTAATTTACTACCAAGAACAACTTTCGATCTGCTCCAGTGTCTCCTGGAGTTTTTGGGTCAATTTAATGGTAAATAGATCGAACTTTACTTTAGATACCAATGAGGATTTGTGAATTGATCATGGTGCATGTGAATGCGTGAGGAATCATAATCCATAAAAAATACTCAGAATATTCTCCGTTCCACGGAATTTCACGGGATATTTTTGATAAAGTGATCAAACTACATAACAGTTCAGAACCGGTGAAGCAAGGAGACCGTATTACTCCTGCTTCTCATGAATTAAAATAATTTTATCAATCCAAGGAGGCTACTGATAGGCAAAATAGTGTATTTCCATTTCCTTGAGTTGTCTTCATAGATGAAAACCTTTATGCTGTCTGTACATACAATTCGAAAGAATAAGGTCATATACAATCCTGTTGAATGAAAAAGATCGTGGCAATTCGTCCATTGTAGATAAGAATAGTATGCGACGCATGCTTGATTTAAGCGTATTGAAGAATAAAAGGGTAATACACTGTAATGGCCAAATTGTATCCCTTGTCCTTGGCGCAACTTGGAATTTCATCAACTGCGATGGAGTTACTTAAAAGAAAATCATGTTTGTTTTGTTTTCAAAAATAATAGCACAACAAGCACAGATGCACTATTTTAAAGAAATGTACTGTACAGTGTGTCCATTAATTGAATGATCTAAATTATAAATCGCACTGTCCCAGGGATTGCATCCTGTTCCTCTTGACCCTTATCAGGAAGCGCGTTCAGAAAGCGTTCTTTCCAGTACCATCTTACTATCCATAGTTCAGAAATACACATGCTCCTTGAAAACAAAGAAGTAATAAAAAATACTGTATTTGTGTGGTTATGACAAGCTTGACCGTATTGCCAGTGATTTCTTTACTAAGGCATCATCAAAAAAAATTCTGATATTGAGCGGTCCTGTTGTCACCTTAAGGGAACATGTTATCTGTCCAAATGGTTAGCTGTGAACCAAAATTTGCTTGCATATTTTTCATCAATTAGCTGATTAAGACTGTCGAGATTAGCAATAACTGCATGATATGTGGAAGCATCAAGTGTTCTGTCGCTCTGTGCCTGGAGAACATCGCTAATATCCGCGTTGGTTTAATTTTAGAGAAATTTGTAGAGCTTCTGAACTCCAGTCAATTTTTTTCCTTTGCTTGAGTGAGAAATGCGGAATCGCGAGCGCTGGTCTTGCGGACGCATGATGTATTTGCTTTTTGACCTTCTTTGACGTTTACTTGTGTTCTTTCGTGCGATCTTCATAGATGTTTCCTTTTTCGTTGTTGCACCAGACCTATCGTCCGCGCGGAAATGAATCGCGATGAATATGACGGGAAAAGCATCAACGCCAAGATGTTCAGATCGTAGTTCCGTTTTGAGGATATTTTCAAATTTCCGTTCATTGTGCGATGGTATCAGCGTTTGAAGCGGATTTAATCCTTTCAGAATGAGTTCGAACCCCGCAAATCGTGAATCTTTTGATCTCGTGTTGCATGTGGCCTTTGTGGGTTTCATGAGGATTTGACGGTGAGTCGCGATGAACGCGGTTACGATTGAGCGTGTTCCTTGATGAATATTATACGCAGACCTATTGGACATCGGATGGACCCGGATCTCGGCGTATGAGTATTTTTTTCTGAATTACCAACTGGAATGACGATGAGCACGGCTGATAGCACAACGTCAGGTAATCTTTCCAATACGGAGGACTCGCTGGCCTGGTCCAACTCGAGCTCGGCGTCCACCTCGAAGCCCGTGTTCGCCAACGAAGAGTCCAATGGGTCCTGGAAAGACGACTCCCTGGAAATGGAAGTGGATGCGAACGGAGTGCAGTGTAATGAATGCAATATCGTGTTGCCCTCGCGTCAAGCATTGCGGAGCCATGTGACTTCAGTGCACGGGTACGCGACGAGTTGCGAGACCTGTGGCGCCGGGTTCGCGTCTCCGGCTGCAGTGAAGAAGCACCACATTTTGACACCCGAGTGTCGGAGCCACAAGTGTGTCGAGTGTCCGAAAACCTTCACGAACGCCTTCCAGCTCAACATTCACACGCGGAGGGTTCATTTGAAGGAGCGGTTGAACGAGTGTCCGCAGTGCAATCGCAAGTTCTTCAAGGTGAATTCATCTTTTTTTTTTTCACCTGTGGTACGGGATCAACTGTTCCGAATATGTTTCCAGGTGTCGGATTTGAAAGCGCACATGAACGTTCATATGGGGTTGAAGAAGGTGTGCGATATATGTGGGAAGGAGTTCCATCATGTGTCGAATCTCACGCGGCATCGGAATGTTCATCTTTGTGAGTTTTTTCTTGAATTTGCAGTGTGAATTTGAAGGCATTCCTGTGTTAATTTATGAATGCTCAGCTTTTGACAAGTGAAATACTCCCGTAGTTTGAGCTAGATCGAAGGAGTCGATGAATCATTCGAGAATTCCTGTATTTTTAATTCTTCGGAATCAGTTCGTGGAATGTTTATTACAGTAAAGCACTCACATCTAAAACCGACTTGTTTTTTTCGTGTTTCTTCGTCAGCCATCAAGCCATATGTGTGCAAATATTGCGGGAAGCGATTTGGACAAGTGAACATGCTGAGGTACCATGTTGCGGCTCATCAGTCAGACAAACCGTTCGCTTGCGTCCATTGCGATGCAACTTTCAACTCCAAGACCCCTTTGCAAAGGCATATCAGGGCCCAGCATGCAGAGGTAATTTTCATATTCCAGAAGTCAAATATCTCCTTATATCTATTTTGTTTTCAAGTCCCTGTCTAAATGATCTCAGAAACAATACATTGAATACCTTCCTAACTCGTAGGCTTTCCCCTTCGAATCTCCGTAATTCTAATTTTGCGGAGGCCTTTTGGCGATTATTTGTTCGATACAGGAAAGAGTAAAGCGATAAAAATGTGTCGTTATGTGTTTTGGAAGGAAGTGAAACACTGATTTTGAAAATGGACCCTTGCCTCCAGATGAACATTGTGTCAACCAGTTCATTCAAGAACTCAAGAAGCAATTTAAGGCCCAGAAAATTCACAAATTGAAATATCCTGGGATTCTTAATTTTCCTGTTAAAATGCTTGTTTTTCCAATTCCCAACCTCCGTAACTCTTTTTTATTTAATTTTCTGCTGGTCCCTTGAAAGTTCGACTGTATTAAGTAGTTTACTTTTTTTGTTCCTGCAGGCACGACAGAATATGAGCTCGCAGGTCAGGCAATACTATTGCTGTGTTTGTGGCGAGAGTTTCGGGCTTTGTGAGGAATACAGAGCTCACGAACTGGGCCACGAAGAGCGTCAAGAGCTCACTTGCACCGAGTGCAAGCGGTTCTATACCGACCTGGAAGAATTCCGAGTGCACAGTTGCGAGGACGTGAAACCAGAAGCTTTGGAGTTGGAAAATAGTCAGGAGCCGGAGCAGCAGCAGCAACAGCAAGAGGTTATTCAACAGCAGCAACAGCAACAGGAGCAAAACGGGAGTATGGTGTTTTACTTGCCCACGAATGCGGATGGCACACCGGATGTGACTGCGTTGGAGGCAGTGGGGAATATGGCGGAACTTCAGCAGGGCGCCCAAGTTGTGCACAATGGTACCCAGTACGTGGTGGCGTTGTTTGATAACGGGGTACTGGATCCCGGGGCCGCCGGCGGCGATGCCCATGTGACGGAACCCAATTCAGGGATGACTTCTGCGGATGGTCTCCCGCAGCACTTGCAGTTACCTGCGAACATGATCTTGACTGACCCCAGGCAACCCGTCGTCTTGACCGAAGACCCTGGTATGTGTTCATTTATTTTTATTTTGTTTCTCAATTTATTATTCAACAAAGACTTTATCTAAACTCTTTATCTTTGGGATCATCCGGAATACGCCCCACATTTAAAAATGCTCAACAGTGGAATTCTGTTGAAACGAATCACGTGACAACGAATTCTTCATCCTTTCCCGGCGACAATAGTGTGAACATTTTGTTGTACTTGAACTAATTTCCCTCTGTAATCTCATTATAACGTACTAGGAGTTTCTGTGTAGGAAGAAATGGCGCAAAAATTTCGTTGTAATGAAGGAATTTTTCTCTATAATCTCGTTACTACTAATTTTTGCCTTGATTATGTTGTCCAAGGGCTGTAGACCATTTTGAGGATAGTTGGAATATCAGAAACCCCAACTTGTGCGTAAATGGAAAAACAATCAAAAATATAAATTCTATTTTTTTGCACAGAAAATTTAGCTCTGCAGGCAGTATGAAGCTCGCATCAAAATTTATTTAGCTTTATTTTAGAATTTAAAAACTGCTTATTTTAGCAAAGAAAATATGTTTGGAAGGATACTGGTCTATTTTAGGGAACACGGAGTTATTTTCAAATAAATGCTATTCTTGCAAATTCATTTTTCGTTTGCTTCAGATCTTACTCCCTTAAGATTAGAATATTTTTAGAAAAATGTAAGAAAGGGAAAATCTAAAAAAAAGTGTTTCACATTCTGAATTCACTCGATTATTTCATCTCAAGAAGTTTGAAATGCGAAATATTCTTCACGAATCTGTTTTTGGAAGTACTTCAAAGCATTTATCACAGTAAAAATCTCGTTGCAACAAGGCGATTGGGACGAGTAAAACAGCTTTGTTGTAAAAGTTAATTTTCATGAGCAAACTCCAATAACATTGCACCTTTTATGCAGGGACTGAAAAACGAATTCATTGTAATCAGTTATTCGTTATTAAGAGTTACGTTGTGTTGATAACTTGATATTATACTGTATTTATTTTCCACAAGATTTCAGTCCAACTCTCATTGTAACACATTGTTGCTGTAACTAATCATTTCTTCCTGTCCCTGGAACTTCGTTGTAATGAGATTTTACTCTATTGGTAAGTTGAAAATAAAGTGCCGTATGATTTCTGTGTGCGTAAGTGATGTTTCTTTATCGTCGCCTGAATGGACAGAAGATTTGTAGCATAAATATACTTGAAGTTGAATCAAGTTCTGTGAGAATTGTTTGCAGAGTAAATTTTTCCGAAATGCGTCTGAATTCTGGGCAAGTCCGGGAGAAAATTTGCAGCTTTTTTTTTGTATTTCAGTTATATTCGTAAAATGAGTATTTTTTCAACGTCTTTTTTCCTAGTCTATTGGAAAGTACATTTTTAACGACTTGTGGGTTGTCATGGGTTATTTTTAACTCGAGATTTTTTTCCCCCTTTGAATGTTCACCAATTATTTGTGATGGTTTCAAGGTTTCTGAATCATTCTTTTACTCTTAATTTACTGTGTACCAGGAATGACTCGATGAAGTTCTTGTTCGATCGCTAGTTTTACGAGTTATTTCTGATTTAAATTGGCGCTATGCCAGAAGGTCCTGTTTGAACTTCGATATGCTTTTGAGTGACATTTCATTGGCCTCTCTTTTTGTTTTCGTCGAGTCTGATTGTTTTTTTCTTCATAATTTGCAGGAGGAGGTGGAGGAACGGCGTTGGAGAAATTCGGAAATGCCTTGGCCGGGATGAATGATGCGGAGTTTGCAGCCGGATTGAAAGGTTCAAGGGAGACGACCAGTTACGTGGAAGAAATTAAAACCGAAGAACATATCTTGTCCCGTGAAGATTTCGATGCCGTGGAAGGATCCAAAGAGGTTCGTGTGGGTTTCAATTTTTGTTGTTGTTGAAAAATGCCTGTTCTGTGAACGCGGTCGGTTGTGATCTTGCAATGGGATTTGGAATTGAAAGACGAGGGTCTGTTTTTGTTTGTTAGTGTCTGTTTTGGCTGTGAGAGAAAAGAAAATTCTACTGCGAGGAACAGAACAAATGAATGGAAAATTCTTGTCGCGATGGAAAAGTTCGTGCAATAATGCGAAACGTCATTTGAATTTGATTCTTCGCAAGTCAGAATATGATGAAGTCGAGTCTGCAGAGCTTTGATGCGTTCTCTCTAAATCTTAAAAAAACTATGTGGAATTGAAAGACGAGGTTTTTTGGTTCTTGTCTGTGCTGACTGTGAATTTAAAAGAAATTTTTTCTGCAAGGAAGAGAAAGAATGAAGGAAATTTTGAAGGGAAAGCGCTTTCCCTTAAAATAACATTGTTAATTTTTTGACTGTTTCCAGCCACTCACCAGAAGACCATGATGAACAATAAAATATGCGTGAGCGTTTTATCATGGGTCCATTGGATCCCAGACAAAGGAATTGAATTGTGCAGCCATCAGAATGCAAGTTTTGAATAAGAACTCAAACTCTCTTCAGAGGAGTTCATTCTCATTGCCGAGTTCATCAATTGGCTGTGAATGAAATGGTTGTAATGGCAGAGTCAATGGTTAGCTCAGAATATTGAATGAGGTAATTATATTTAAAAGGCCCTTTAACACTAGGTTCTGACTTTCCTCTCAAAGAGGAATGAAGGTTTTTATACCCAGGTGCTTGGGCTGTGTCAGGAAGAAATCAGGTGATTTCTTCCTGGCTCATGATTGGCCAATTTTAGGAAAATCAAAGAAGTGATGACCACTTCTTAACCTTGAGTGAGGCTCAGTGAGTTGTGCAAAAACGGGTTTTTTGCAAGACTCACTGGCCTCAAAATGCAGCAAGTTTTATTGTCCGGTTGCGGCTGGATGCTGGAGCTGCGTTGCTTTGGGACGCAAAACGTTTATCAACAGAAAATTGGGAATTTGACATTGTTTAGTCCTCACAAGTCTTTCTCATAACTATCGAATTTCTTCTTTTTAAAGACAAGAAAAATTTGGAACTTCCCTTAAATTTTTTCTTAGATGTACATTATTTTTGAAAAATTCTCAGGTTTTATTTGTGAAACATTTTAAAATTTGCATATTTTGCAGGCCAAAAATTTTGGTTCACTGAACTAATTTTGTGATTTGAGTCATGTAAAAATATTTTTGTATGTGGATATTTTTGTGTGTGGGTCTTTTCTCAAGCAAGGATTCACTGTATCTCTACCAAGACAATTCCATTTTTTTTCTGCTGGTAAATGTCACTGGCAGTCTCTCGAGTAACATTTTATTGCAGCATACGGCATATCGAGTCCCATTTGCTTCCGTGTTTTCGGCAATCTAATACACGGGTTATCTGGTTCTTGGTGAACCTCTCCCGAAGTGGGTTTTTGTATTTTTTCGTTTAATTTTTTTCAACCATTTCTGCTAAACACACGAACCGATTCTTTTGTGGGTAGGTGTCACTGGTGGTCATAAACTCAAGTTCACGATTCCTCATTCGTAGGTCGTGGCTCAGACAGGAGAAGAAGCGTATCACATGATGCAGCGAGAGGAGAATTTCGACGGAGTCGAGCTCCTGAGCTCGGGATTTGCATCGAAGATTTCAGACAAGGACCAGCTGCATCATGCCCAACTTCTCCTACATCCCCAACAGCAGCAGCACGAGCAGCAACATCATCATCATCATGAACATCAGCAGCAGCAGCAGCTTCTTTCTTTGCCCGTAGTGACGGAAACTGGGCCAGATGGACAGCTCACCTACTGTATGATGATTGATCCGTCGCAGCTCGGGCCAGGTGGCGGCGGCATCCAACTGCCCGACGGCAGTTTCGGCTACATTCAAAAGTCCGCCACGGATCCGAATACGTTTGTGTTTTCGGCGGCTGAACCCGGTGTGCCGCAGCACCAGCACGATCAGCAGCACACTGAGTTGGTGGAAGAGAACCACTTTGATGAGGAAGAGGAGGATAATGACGAAACGGTTTTGGATCAGACGACTTTGGAGCAACTGTTGATTGACGGGGGTTTTGCTGATGAAACTGCGGGGATGACGGATCAGGATCGATTTTTCATGAATGAAACTATTGAAGAGTGAGTTACTTGTTGATATGTCTTCGCGAAAGTGGGGGTATTGCGAAATGTGACCTCAACATTAGGACAGTTCGACTTGGAGACACATGAAACTGGAAAAAAATCTGACACAAAATCCGGATCATGGCTCGAGATAGGGCCACTTCGCAAACGTTTTTCAGGATTGTAAAAAAAATATTTTTGAATTTTGATATATCGAACAAAGTGAGCCATTATCTTCATAAAAATTGAAAAAAAAATATTTCACGATAAATATTCTCCCTTTCATAGCAACAAACAGACTGATTTTGTGATTCTTTTTTCGAGAGTTTTTCCCATCATCTTTGCATAGTACTGTATAGTAAGACTTACTCTTGTTCCTTGCTTTTTGAGCTCCTTTTGATGCCAAAAGATCAGATTCTATGTCCTTTTTTTTTTCCTGTATCTTGAGGTTGAGGGAAAGAATTTATATTCAATTTTTCGGAAGATTATTCCTGATTCTCAATGAACAGGAGAACCAATCAAATATGTTTGCATTGAAGTCTATAAAAAAAATTTGATCTGGCATGCAGATGGTCCAACATTTAACAAGTTCTGGTACTTGTCATACTCAATTCTAAAATCTTTGAACCAATTTCAGCAGAATTTTTTCAAATGGAAACAGTTTCGGCGTGTATCTTACTGGGGAATAGGATTTTATTGAAAATTTTTTCTGAAAATTCTGGGTGTGCATCCTATTTGAGGACACGTGATGCTTGGCAAGAGCATTCATCGCCTATTTCCCAGAAAAAATTAGCACTGACTTTTCTGGAACTTATGACCCTCATTATAAGGAAACAATTTTAAATTGTTGACACGTGATGCTTGGCAAGAGCATTCATCGCCTAATTCCCAGAAAAAATTCGCACGGACTTCTCTGGAATTATGACCCTCATTATAAGGAAAAATTTTTCAATTGTCCCCTGGAGTTGGTTGTAACGAGATTCTTTTTTTTTATTTTTTATAGGGTTGCCTCTGGAATTTTGCATCAGGAATCTCCAGTGTCGGAAAACGGCGACGACGTGTTGGTCCAAGAAACCGGTGAACTCAAGTGCCCGCATTGCGGGAAGCGCTTTGGTCGCAAGTACACGTTCAAGCAGCATTTAGGGATCCACGATCCCGCACTGCACATGTACCGTTGCGGACTGTGCAACAAGTCCTTTGCGTACAAAACCACGCTGAAGAAGCATTGTTTGGCCGTGCACAAGTGTTTGCCGGACGTGCTCATGGGCCGAGGACTCGTCACTGCCGACCCCAGTGTCTGCGGGGACATTGTGGCTGCCGTCGGCATCAAGAAGGAGAAGCTCGAGGATTCGGAAGACGTTGCTCAGGTTTGGGCATCTACCGTATTGCAGATATACCGCGTATACAGTGGGACCCCTTAGATGCGGACATAATTGGTGGTGCATGGACCTTGTTCCTATGTTAGAATGCACGCATGTTGGACCTTGTTTTCCCGAAGACTTTATTGGGACTATTTTTGAATGCATATTTTAACTAGTTTAAAAAAAAAAGCCCCCCCCCCCCCCAAAGTTGAAGAATATACATTTTTGCTCAACTTCAGCAAAAGATGCAGGTAAAAATAAATGTATGGAAGAAAACCACACAGAATCTGATCTTTTGGCATCAGAAGGAGCTTGAGAAGGAAAGAACAAGACTTGCGAAACTGTTGAATAACATTGTGTGCTGCACTGTTGTTGCGCACATGATGGGAAAAAAGCTGAAAAAAGCACAAAATTAGCCTGTTTTTGATAATGAATTTGGTTGATTTTACAATGAAATCTATTTTTATTATTTTTAAATGTTAATACTGTAGCTCAATTTCTTCAAGAAGTACAAAAATTTAGAAAGAAAGATTTTCTAAGTATTTCAGAAATCTAGGAAATTTCTAAGTCATTGTCTGGATGTCAGGGGCAGATTTGTTCAGTTCTAAATGTCCCTGAGTTGAATTGTCCATATATCTGGGTGTTAATTTTTAAAAAGGCTTTCCTAGTTATTGAGATGTCTTCTGCTTTGGAGGGCATCCAAATGCAACCACCCACTTACAGGTGAATTCAGATATGGAATTGTCAAAATTATCCTTAGTATGTGCATATCCTTTTCAGGAATAACCTAATGATATCCCTAGAAAAATATACGTTAATTTTTCTGATTTTGAACTATTTTTCATTCAGGGCAGGACATTTTTTGTGGTACTAAGTATGTTTGACACTAAAGAAAGGTTTCCTTCACGAGCAATGGATGGAGATTTGTTCCAAGAGAATTTGTGGCACTGGGCAGAGGTGGTATTAAATCAAGGGTTGTCTGTATTTTCTCTCACAGGTATCTTTAAAAAGGAATTTTCACACAACACAATCAGCAGATGAAATTGCCAAGAAGTTCATTATAAACTTGTTTTCAAAGACCACCGCAACGCTTGCAATGCTGCAGAAAACTTTTCACACAGAATGCTATCACGGGCATTGTGACATACTCAAGTGCTTTTCTCACTCAGTATTTGACATAGAAAATTTTACTCAATCTTAATTCAAAGATGATGATGTTTTCCTAACTTTTTGTGATCACATTAAAATTGATCCAGCTGATAGCAGTGCTTACTTTTGTCAAACAATACAAGATTTATATCTCAGTGATGCACACAAGCTTGTAGTGGATCTGAGAGTTCAGCAAAGCTATTTTGGGGATTCATTGCTGAATTTCATTTTGCTACAGAGCTTTTTGTTTTGATTTTGAGGAAATTTTGCATAGAAAAGGTTCTCTCTTGCCTGAATTTGATTATTCTCTTTGTGACTGGCAGGACCATGGAAAGAAGATCCCAGAGAAGAACCACAGGTGCGACACCTGTCCGAAAGCCTTTGCCAAGAAACATGATCTCGTTGTACATCAAAGGTAGGTGTCGCGTGTTTTTCATCGCATGTCTGCTCTTTTTGTCTTCACGATGTGCAAACAATTGTATTCCTCGTCTTCCGTCTCTTTTTTTTTCCTGTTGTTTTGATGTCGCACAAACACCGAACCCTATTCCTCCTCCCACCCCCGGAATTCCGCAGGTCGCACACGAAAGAGTTCCCGTTTGCGTGCTCGGGTTGCGCTGTAAGGTTTAATCACGTGAGCCACGTGAAGCGGCACGAGAAGTCTTGCAAAAAGCTCTTGGCTGTGGCGGCAGCGGCTCAGAAGGAAGAGGAAGACGCGGCGGCGGCGTTGGCGGTGGCGGCGACGACTGCCAGGAACGGCAAGGACAAGGAGCTGTTTCCGGAATGCTTCATTTGTCAGCTGGACTTCGATGACGTGGCCAAGCTGCTGGAGCACATGGAGACAGTGCACGATATCACTGTCGAGTCGTCCAAGACCTCTGGCGGTGGCGTTGTGGAAGTTTCTGAGACCCTGGGGGCAAGTTGATGCTTCTTTTGCTATATTTTGGTGTGTTTGTGTGTGATGTCTCTTCATTTTTCCACCTTGTGCACATTCATCACTTGCTGTGCCTTTTTTTTTTCTTCATGCGAGCATCCAGCTGCATTCTTTGTGATGAAATGTGATAAATTAAGAAGAAGAAGCACCCAGAATTATATCCCGAACTAGTTGTCGTGAAGGACTCAATTCTGGCGCGTTGAAGTGACACCTAGTTGGACGTCAGCGTAGCTCATTCAAAAGAAGGGTTCCTCATTCGTGGTCCCGTATTCCGAATGCCATTGGTTGTTCTCAGTAATTTTGTAGATATCGCCTGAATTTTTTGTGTGTGTAAATCAAGTTGATTATTTTATTTCAAGTGTGGTTTACAACAACGAAAACCGCGAATAATAATAATGATACAGTAAAGATAGGAAATGTCAGCATTGGTAAATCTTTTGAAAAAAAAATTAGGCTCTTAGATGTTCAGAAAAAATTAGGCATTCAGACAATACCAAGGTGTTAAACCCTTGTTTTTATTTCTCAATTTTTCATCTATTTATAATAATATTAATTTTAGAATGTGGGAAGGTCATTGTTCCAGAGACACAAATTTCAATTTTGTAGTTGTTCATACATTTTCAGCACTCAGGAAAATCATTAGACAATGCCCACTGTAAGAGGAAAATTTGACGTGTTGTCGTGGAGTTGAGTGAAACAATGTTTTCGAGAATCTGGAAAAAAATAGCAAATCCCCCGAAACATCAAAGGAAAATTGATTTGTTCTATAAAATATTTTCAAATGTTGAAAATACGTGCAGCATTAGAACAGCCCTTGTATGTATGGAGGTGAATCTGATGTTTGTGATGAATTCATTGATTGTTCAACTGGAAGACCTGTTATAGCTATACTGTATCATCATTTTGAAAGGAGAAACTCTGATGAAGTATGTTTCATGCACAGTATCTGAAAATATAATCAAGCATGAATACCTTGTTTAGTCAAGTACCACATGCACCTTTTTCTCAAAATTGACAGGAAGAAAATGGGGGTTTGTTTCATAGGCAGGTATTCAGTTTTAAAACGTTTTAAAAGGTGTGCATTATACAGTGTATGGAAACTTAGACAAATTATAGCAAAAAAAGGTTTCAGTGAGAAAAATTGAGCATTGAATGAGTTCAGGCTTGATCAGTGTCTGAATGCTATTCCTGGTGTATTTTTCAATATTGCTATTCTGAAGTCATTTTATCAAAATTTTTGGCAAACAAAAAAAAACTGAGAGTGTCTCTTGCTCAAGGACATCTAGGTAATACTGTGATAAACCAAATACAGTTGAACCTCTCTTAAGTTGAACTTTGAGGGACCAGCAAAAAAATTCAACTTGGGGAGGTTTTGAATTTATCTACAATAAAAAGCCCTTTTGTGTTGGGAAACATATAAAAATTGCTCAAAATTGTAAATTTGAATCTTCTGAGGCTGAAATTACTTCTTAAATGAGTTGAAAACATCCTGAACTTGGATGAGGCAGGGTTCATTTGCCCAATTGAGTCTCTCACCTCATTTTAAAACAAATCAATTTATGTTTTATTGCATTTTTTCTTTCCTGTGTCAAGAAAATAAAAGCCAACAGGCCACAGAAAATTTAACTTATGGAGGTTTGAGGGAAAAAGCCTTTGACTTAGGGAGGTTTTAAATGCATTAGTTTGAAGGGGATTCAGACAGGACCCAAAAAAATTTGGAATTAGGGGGGTTTTCAACTATAGGGAGGTTTGAGTTATTGAGGTTCACCTGTAACAACTTGTATTTTAAGTGACTCAGAATATGGAAACGCCTTGAAGCTGAAGCGACATCAAAATTTATAAAATCCTCAGCGCGCTTTGAAAAATTCACCAAGTATTTTTTTTATTGTATGCATGAAAATTGATCCTCCTTATTGCTGGAGGTTTTCTTGGACATAATGCAATGTCGCCTGAATTATGTGACATGAAGGTCAAGTTAGGTTATCTTCTCTCATCAGTTTCACCTGTCGTGGTCGTAAAAAAACAAGGCGAAAACTTCTCCATTTCTTTATTCATTCGAAAAGATAGAGAAACGAAAACAAACAATTTTTTGAAGTTGTGGTGATGATTTCAGTGAGCATTTGGAGGAGGCGAGTTTTAGTTCATTCCGGACTATTTACAGACCTTGAAGCCGATGACGCACGAATTTTTGAACGGGGAAACGGATGAAGACGAGAGGAGAAGATTTAGCAGACTTGAGCGTAAGCAGACGGAAGAGACGAGTGGACGACGAGAAGAAGATGATCAAGAAGAAGAAGATGACGACGACGACGACGAGGAGGCCAAGCCCTGCGTGCACGACGCGACGACGGCGACGGCTCTAGCAACGCCGTCGACGACGACGACGATTCCTCTGATGGCGCCGTCATCATCATCACTGTTATTATCTTCGTTTGAGCCGACGCCGTTGTTTGTCACTCGACCGAAGCAGCAGATGCACCACCACCCACAACAACAACAGCATACGTCGTTGTTGTCGCCGTCGACGACGTCCTCGGTCGGCGTCCAGTCGGAACTCGGCGAGTTCTCGCTCAAGACCATCAAGCCGCGAACGGCGTCGTCGTCGTCATCGTCGAGCGGATGTTGTTGCAAAAACAAGAACTCGACGGGATCGAGGGACTGCAAACCCTTGCCTGACGTCGGTGTCGCGACGTGACGTGACCTGACCTGAAGTGTTGTGTCTAAGAAAAAAAGAAGGAAGAAAAAGGGGAGGTCAGATGCGATGAAAGAGAGGGAGAGAGAGATAAAACAGAATCCGTCCCCCGTTTTTTTTGTTTTTTCTCGTGTCCCCTTGTGTCCCGGATTTGCACGAGTGGCTGTTTTTGTGATCATGGCGTCCACCAGCACGCGCGGTGCCACGAAGGTTTATTTTTCCACCTTGCTTTTATCTTTTTTTGTTTTATTTTTATTTAGGGTTTGCACATAATCGAAAGAAATGTTTTTTTTGTGCGCTAGATGTTAATTGTTGTTTTTTATTGAGAAGAAGAAGAGATCGTTCGTGCAGAATTTGCCAAACAAAGTATTGGAAATGCTGGACCACTTCTGGAAGAAATGTGGGTGGGGGTGTCCAGAGTCCGTGATTTGATTTGATTTTACATAGGTGTCGCTCGAATTTTAATGTAGGTTTATTGACTTGAATAATACGCGCCCCTGAGTAAGACGCGTACCCCATTTCCAGTAACTCAATATTTCAAAAATGAGAGCTCCCAAATTTCAATTTAGACATGAATTTGACTAATTTTAAATTGTTTCCATAGAAATACGTTTTTCATTTGAACTTGTTCGAAAATTTCCGAAAAAGAAACAAGTATAATGTTCACCTAAATTTCTAAAACCCGTCAACAAAATTGTACCAGCTCATGTCAATGTGCACTGCCCTGTTTTCCCTCTTAAATTTGAGGGAAAATGTGCATATGGTATTCAAGTGGATAGAGTATATAGATCAATAGGATTAATTCAGATGAGATGAGATGCGGTGAGGTTGGTACAAGATGGAGGTGACACCTGGCGGACGTCCCCGTTAACTGGAATTAGTTTCTCGGTTTTCATTATTCGTGATCATCATTTTCTGTAGCACTGTTATTTTTAAAATTTGTATGTGTTTAGCGTTTGACAAAAGATGATGGTTATTAACTGACGTGAACTAGTTTTAATCCGATTTTGAATTTTTGGATGTTAAGCTCAAGACTTTTTGTTATTTGGTGAGAGACAAAAATTTTACGCTCAATTCAAGATTGAATCTGAATTCGCGGTTCCACTTACAAGTATGTTTATCTTGTATGATTGCTCTCTTCGTGTTAGTGCTTGAACATATTTTTTTAACAAATTGATTTATTTATTTTTGTGTTGGTGCTGAGTCTGAGTTTTGGTCGGTAGGAAGAGAAGCGAAGTACAGTACAAGTTAGGGTGTTGATTTGCGTTGGTAAGTGAAGGAAGTATTTTGTGCGCGGAAAGGAAGCAAACGCTGTGTTTATCTGGTAGATTTTTTTTTTCTTCTGTCTGAAGCCTTCGGATCTCAAGCCTTTTTTTTGGGGGGTTCACCGGTTTTTATATTTTTCCATAATATTTGTGTTCGAAGCATTTGTTTTCAGCCCGGAATTTCCTGTCTTGTAGATTTTCATGGGAGGATTGGACGAGTTTAATTTGATGGACCCCACATCGTGAAATTTTTTTTTTTTTTTTTTTGATTGGCCGACTTTGAAAATTTTTTAGTTGTGGAGAAAAATCTTCTTCCAGAAGTGGTCTTCATTTTATTTGTTGTCGTAATCGTGTTTTGCGTGAAGCTGATTTCGAGCGAGGCTTTTAGCCGAATTGAAAGGCAGCTCTTCTCGCCATTTTTCTCTCGTTTGTGTCTCGCTGCTGGTTCGGAGGGGATTTTAGGTCTGTGTGTTCTTAGTTTCTAACAAGCTTTCTTTTCTTTTTTTTTCTTGGTAAATGCCAACTGGGATAGTTGAGAATTTGTTTGTCTTATGCTAATCACAAATGGATGACTTCTGGATCTGTTTCGGGGACCAAAAGCTTGCTTTTTTCGTCTCTCGTAATAATACTGTATAATGATAAATATCTTATCTAATATTCGTGATTATCTAATATTTAAGCTTTTGACGCATGAAATTGAAGTTGGAAAGGTTGGAACCGTTTTTTTGTTGCTGAAGTTCAGTTTTTTAACCTGTGTGAAACTGCTTTCGTCATTAAAGACTGATGAGTGTACAAAACACGAAGGAAAGCCAAAGTGAAGAAAATTAACCTTGTCTTTCAAGCATGAATAATTGGTCGGAAGTGTTTCGCTCTTTTTCAAAAATTTTTTTTTTGTTCTTCGGGGAACATTCCGAGAATGATTTTTTTTAATTAGGAGACTGCCCTGCTCAGTTGTGTTGCCGCCCAGTTGTTCTATCTATATTCTGAACGTGTGGTGAGGAAGAGTTTGAATGTCCATTTGTTGTACAACGGTCTCAAAAAGAAACGGAACTTTCGTTGTTTTTTTTTTTAATTGCGCACAAAAAAATTTTTGAGCGAAGAGATTTTCGGAGAATTCGCGAGCCGGACGTTGTAACATTTTCACGGATAATTTTTGTTGGTGCTGCAAAAAAAAAAAAGGAGGAGAAGAAAAGAAAGAGGATGAGACGAAGGTATTCAATTACTTTGTTCGTGTTTTTATTGTATTTTTTTATGTGTGGAGTGAATTCTTATTCTTTGTATGATTTTTTTTTCTTTCGTGATTGTATAACTTGAGTTTATTGTTTTGTTTCAGGTCTGTGACTTTTGTTGTGGTTTGTGTTGGATTATTTGTGACACGGACATGGCGGAAACGTGCAACTCTTGAGTCAACTTTCGCGCCATCAAGGTTATTGAATATGTATATATGTATTTTCAGCGTTTTTCCCTGAGTGGTTTGACAACTTGTGTGTGTGTCAATTTGTTGGGCACACTGTTGAATCAAGTGGTCAAAATTGAGTGTGTTCACCCCTTGAACTCAAAAGGCTTTATTTGTGTCAAAAAGGAAATTATGTCTTTTTTGTTTAATTTGGAGAAATGTAAATGTCTGACCATTTTTCTGCTGATAAATTTAGAAGCGAAAGCACCTTTTTAATTGTCAATAAGCTGTTCTGTAAATGAATGAAAAAAGCTGGAGCATGTGTGACCCCCCCCCCCCTCTTTTTTGTCAGTCACAAAAAATTTGTAATTTGACAAACTTTTTGTCATGTATTGTCAGGGAGCTCTTAAGAGGAAATGTTGAAATAATCTTGTTATAACAAATTTCTCAATTCCATTAGAGCAAACTTTTATGAGGAATGATTGATAGATTCTCCAGGTTGAAATTTCCTAAGGCAGGTAAAGTCTGAAATTTCTGATCTCAAATGTGACTGATGGGTTCTTGTAGCATGGAAAGAATCTGTAATCAATGACAAGCATTCTTCCTCCCAACATTCTCCCAGAAGGCAGAGATTAATGCTACTGATGGAATGAATGATCAACGCTTTTTTTCAGAAGATTTATTCAGTTTTACAAACAAGAATTGAAAATCTTTAGAATGCCAGAAAATCAAGGTCAAATCGATTATAGGCAGGCATGATGTAAAAAAAGTTTTTGTCACAAATTTTGAAAATCTTGCTACAACAAACTATTCAGTATTCGGTGACAAACTTTTTCTGAAGTTTCTAAGTTTGTTGTAACAAAATGTTACTGTGACTAATCAAGTGGTGTGTGTGACTTGAGCTGCCAAAATTCATAAAGCATTGTGATGAATCCCAGCAATAAATATAAAAATCCTGTTGCAGTTTTATTATGAGAAATTTTTCTGGTCAGTGAAAGGGAGGAGCTTGCACAAGACCACGACCCAATCTGGAAACTAATTTTTTTTTCTTCATGAAAATACACTTAGTTTGTCAGCCTTCTGAAGGTCGATTCCATTGAGTATAATAGAATAGGGTGATTTGAAAAATAATTAAAGACCATCTCATCATTTAGAAATTGACCTCAGTGAATGGGAGGAGCTTAAAAAGGTCAATACTCCCCATATGCAGAAGCCTGTCTGGATTGGCTAGTTCTTCCCAAAAAAATAATAATGGAAGAAAAGGCTGCTTAAATGGATGGACTAATTATATGTTTCTTCTTCTGAATTAATTTCTTAAGGGAGTGGGAGGAGCTCCCCATTTACCGTTGTAATAATTACGCGTACCATAATTTACTTGATTGCCCTTTGAAGGGCTGCTCGTTGCTGTTGTTGAGTAAATAACAGTGGAAGAAAAGTCATTAACGGAAAGGACTAGAGCAAAATTAGGCCCTTCTTTCCCCTTCTCTCCCCCTCTTTAAATAATTTTTCCCCCGTTTCTCACGTGACAAAAGTGTGGTGGTTCATCCGAGTGACCGATTTTTGCGGAAATTCTTGCATCTGTGTATGATTTGTTCTTCTTCCTCTTCCTGTCTTCGTTTTTTCTGGACACTACAAAATAAAAAAAAATAAAACAAAATCCGCGTGCAGGGAGAGTGAGAGCAACACGGTGAAGTGTTGAAAAGCAGGGATAGATCTTTTCCCATTCGATGGGGAAAGATTACTACAAGATCCTGGGGATCGCGCGAGGGGCGTCCGACGATGAGATCAAGAAGGCGTACCGGAAACTGGCGCTCAAGTATCATCCGGACAAGAATAAGGCGGCGGGTGCTGAGGAGCGTTTCAAGGAGATTGCCGAGGCCTACGAGGTGCTGAGTGACAAGAAGAAGCGGGACATTTATGACCAGCTGGGCGAAGAAGGGCTCAAAGGTGGACCCACCTTTTTTTTTCTTCTTTTTTTGTTGTTTTTTTTTTTTTAAATGGATCATGAGTTTCGAGACTTTCATTATGTATTCCATTATTATTTTTTCATTATCCATTATTTTTTTCAGTATTATTTTTTCATTATTTTTATTTTTGGTATTTTCCTGTTATCTCTGTACCTCATTCCTAGACTGCTCTACCATCCAGACAAATCTTTAGGATGAGTTCATAATCACGACAACCTACCAGAAACTGTGAATTTTATTTTCCTGCATTCTGCTGAAACTGATTTTGGGAGGTGCTTAGGTAAAGTTAGGTTGGGTCAGGTTATGTTAGTTACAAATATCTTTTAACTAACATAACCTGACCTAACCTAACTTTACCTAACCGCCTCCCAAAATCAGTTTATTTCAGCAGAAACCCAAAGGAAGCAGAAACTCATTTTGGGGGGCAGTTGGGTGAAGTTAGGTTAGGTCAGGTTAAATTGGTCAGAGGGAAGGTACAGAGATAACAGGAAAGTAGGTACAGAGATAATAGGAAAGTACATTATTTTTCATTATTTCATTAATTTTTTCATTATGTATTTACGCAAATTTCACAAGCACCCCGCTTTTTTTAATTTTATTTCATAATCTCTAAAATTGTAGGGGTTGGGGTGTATGGTTATATTGCACACTGTACAAGAGTTGGTTCATGAGTTTTGAGACTTTTTTATTGGATTTTTGGATGTTTTTAAAATTCTTGAAAAAGACTCATACTTTATATACACAAATTGCATAAATATGAAAATATCACCCCCTCCCCATTGAGCTAATTGGAAATGAAGGGTTGTGACGTGGGTGGAGAAATCTGGTGTGGGTAGCTAAAAGTTTTTGCTTATCATGCAGTAAAGTTACATTTTTCTCTCACAATGTAGCTACAATAAAATCCCAAATGAGCTACATCAGAATTTTTTTTTTTTTTACTGTCAAACCTACTCTAGAAATAATCAAGGTCGCACGCAAGTGGGACAACCCTCGTATTTCCGTAAATAAGTGAAAATGAAGTACGTGTGAACGACGCTATGAATTGTGAATCAGTTTCCATTTCATATTCGTGTATCGTTTGTTATGAAAAGTTTAAGATGGGGATTTAATTAGATTCATCTGACGAAGAAGACTTCATCAATTGGAATAATTTTGTTTTGCAGGCGCCGGAGGAGCGGGAGGCGGCGCGGGTTCGAATTACCACTACACGTTCCACGGGGACCCGAGAGCCACGTTTGCGCAATTTTTCGGCACGTCGAATCCATTCGACACGTTTTTCGGCAGTGGTTCCAGCTCTGGAAGGTTCTTCACCATGGACGACGAGGAGATGGAAGATCCTTTTATGAACTTCGGCGGCGTCCGTGGCGGTCCTTTCAGGTCAGCTTTTGGACGCCGTTCTTCTCGTGGTGACAATACAGTACGAGAGTTTTCGTGCGAAATAACTGCACAATTCTGAACTGAAGTGGTTCACATTTCCCCTTCTTAAAGGGTTGGTGGTTTATAAAAAATAAATAAAAAAAGTACTTGTACTTTATTATGAAAATTAAGTGTAATAGGAATTAAAATTGTTATGCTGCTTGAAAACAATCAAAATAATTACTAAATCTGGGTAATTTTCCCAAACAGAAAATTATTTCAGTGTTTTGTTTGCGTTTTATTTTTTATTAATTTGAGTATGCTTGCAGAAACTGGAATTTTTCCAGCAGACTATTGAAGACAAAATGAGAAGAACTAAAATGAGTATCTTTTAAGTTGATCTTCGATCTTCAAGTCATGATTTTGGCAGACAGCGTTTTTGACAAGGTTTCGATTTTGTTCTCTAATTGGGCAAGATTTGCTTTTCAAAATAAAGTAAATTGTCACGTTAATGAAGGTTTGACTGTACTGTATTTCTTACTCCAGTTTGCTAGCATTGTAAAATCCCGAAATAAAATTTCTAAATTCTTGTTTTCAGTTCCTTATCTTTTATTTATTTTTTGCCCCCTTTCATTTGGATTATTACAGTTATTGTTCACAACCTTCCGCAATATCAAAGGGATAATGAGTGTGTAGTCTTATTGTTATGACTACACCATGAACAGCTTTTCTCAGTTCCCTCAATATTTTTTTTTATTTTGTTACACTTTCTTGCGCTTAATGCGCAACTCCACCTACAATTCTATTGCAATCTGGAATACCTTTCTAAAGCATACCCTTTTCTTTTGTTGAGTGTGCAACAATGTATGTTGACACCTATCCTAATTGGTTGCTATGTGCATTATAACCTTTTTTCTCTGAGGTTATAAATGCATGCTACACAAGCATCTTATCACTGAAGTCTGCCATGAAACCTTGTCCATGTTGATTTGCCCTGCAATACAAATAATCACTGTGTGAAAAGGATGAAAAACATATACTTTGTCAAATTATTTTTTGTACTCTTTGAAAGCATGCAGAAAACAATTTAAACCCTTGAGACTCTTGAAAGGTTCAATTCAGTTTAACATTACTTGTCAGCAAGTAGAAGTGACATTGTTGTGTTAGCAATTGGACATCAATGATTTGTATTTGTTTAAGCCAGTTGAGATAATAAGTGTCTCTGATTGATAAAGATCATGTAAATTGCTAAATTTTCTTCTTTTCTTAATTTTTCCTATACATACAACCCTTGCATTGTATTAATGGAAGCTTGTGGGTGTCACCTGATTTACTCAGCTGATCCTTGACCTAATGTTGGAATACAGTGAAATCGTGTTACAAGAAATACCATAACAACAAATATTTCAGTATAACAGACTTTTTCTCAAGTCCCAACCAAGAGCCCATCAAGTTCATATAAAAACAATGTCATTATAAGTTTATAAAAAACTTCCCAAATCCAGTATAAAAAAACTTTCTTGAAGAATATTTGATAAATTCTCCAGCTAGAAATTTCATGACTAAGGCAGGCATAGTCTGACATTTCTGAAATCAAATTTAACTTATGGATTCTTGTAGCATGGAAAGAAGCTGTAATCAACAACCAAGTGGTTTCAAACAACATCCTCTCAGAATGAAGAGATTTTTGCAACTGATGGAATGTATGATTGAAGTTTAATTTTTTCAAAAGATCACTCAATTTTTTTTTCAAATTGTAATAACAAATTTGTCAATGCCAGAAAAACAAGATTTATTGATAATAGGCAAATCTGATTTGAACATATTTCCAGTCATTAATTCTGAAAATCTTGTTAATGAAAATAATTTCAGTTTAACAGCCTTTTTCTGAAGTCAACAAAAGTTTGTTGTAACAAGATTTTTATTGTATTTTTTTCCAGGTCGCATTCTTTCACGACGGGTTCGCCGCATTTGGGAAGAACGAAGACGAAGGCCCAGGACCCGCCGATTGAGTACGATTTGTACGTGGCACTCGAGGATATTGCCAAGGGCTGTGTGAAGAAGATGAAAATTTCGCGGAAAGTTACCGGCCCTGATGGCTCGCAACGGAGGGAGGACAAGGTTCGATGCGAATTATTATCATTTTTTTTTTCAATTTTGCACAACCCTACATAAGTTTGTTGATGGTTCTATTTTTTTTCTGCTGCGATCGCTTGGAATATTGAAAATTGCGCAGGTGTTGACAATAAGTATCAAACCCGGGTGGAAAGCCGGAACCAAGATAACTTTCCAGAACGAAGGTGATCAGGCCCCGCACAAGATTCCGGCTGACATAGTTTTCATCATTCGTGACAAGCCTCATCCTGTGTTTCACCGAGAAGGAAGCGACATTCGCTACACTGCCAAGTTGACCCTTAAACAGGTGATATTTCTTCCCTTTTTTTTGTTGTGGGTTGTTTAGGATTTTAGGGAATTTTTCCGTGTAATCTGAATCAGTGTTCTCCAACCTCTGTGGGCATGCAGACTGGCAAATCCTTTCTTTTAAAAATTATTCTGCAGGCCAGCAAAGTTTCATAAATTTTGTGCAGACTTGCCACAGTTTGACCTGAATGTTATTAGGTAGGTAGGTAGATGCAAGAAAAATTCAGTCCAGAATGTCAACAAACAATTATAAAGGTGGTCTTGGAGAAAGGTTTCTCAGAATGAAAAATTAAGATAATTGATCTCAGCAGGTGGAAATTTGTCTGAAGTGTTATCAGGAGAAAAGCCAGCTTTTGTTTTCATTGGATAATCCAACTGCTGTTGCCCTTCTGAAATTTTAGGTGAAAAGAATAGACTTCTTTGGATTCCCCAACAACTTGGGCAGTGACAACTTTCACAGCAACAACCCCCAAAGTTTTTTTTCCTACTAAAATTTTGTTTTAAATTTAAGTTCATGCAAATACAAATACTTTTTTGCATATACAGTACAGTAGATTCTGTTTGGTCCTACATTAATTGTATGCATTTTTCATTTTGTAAATTTACAAAATGGGGCTTGAGAACATAAAAAGTGCCAGGATAAATTTCAGAAAAGTCTCCCTGGTTTTTTTTGTCGTGGATGAGCAGGATTCTGTTTGTAACTTTTTTTCAATACTTGTGTTTTCCATCTAGTCAAGGATTATTCTGATGCATGGAAAAATTATTCAGGTGAAGTTAGTCAAATTAAATTGGTCAACTTTGGGATGGTCATGTATATGCAATGAATTTGCGCATAATATTTGCCACATGCATCAGAATTATGTGGCTTTTGATAAATTTATTATGCTGAAATTTTCCTGCGGACCACGGGTTGGGGAACACTGATCTAAATCATTTTGTATGTAGTGAGAAAAAAATATTTTGGCATAGGGACATTTATTTTTCCATAAAAAGGGCACAAAAAGGCCCAATATATGGACACTGACTTGACATGAGGACATTGCATGATACAATTGCCAATAAATTTCACAAAAATTGACTTTTATTTGGCTTGATTGCAAGAAACAAATATTTCTCCCATCATTTTCCCATCCATTCAGCTAATTAAAAAATTTCCTTTTGCATAAAGGGACTTTCAACTCTCTTTGTGACTTGGATGTTATTTTTGTAAATGCCAACATTTGAATGTACAGTACAGAGATACACTATTGAATGCTCCAAATGTTCTTATTGAGTTGAAAATATATTCAGTGAATCAAATTCAAGGGGCAAACAATTTTTTTTCATGGAATTCTGAAGAATATTTCTTCGAAAAAACAGCAATTAAAAATTATATATTGTAAGTCTATGGGAAAACAAGACTTGACTTAGGGACAATTCAACTTAGGGAACTCTTGATGCACCAATCATGTCCACATGTGGGGTTCTCACTGTATTGTTGTTGTTTTCAGGCCCTGTGTGGTGCCACAGTGGAGGTGCCCACGTTGTCGGGTGCCAAAGTGCCTCTGAACTTTGACGATGCGGTGATATCGCCGAAGACCACGAAGCGGCTACCTGGACAGGGTTTGCCGCTGCCCAAGGACCCGAGCCGGAAGGGCGACCTCGTGGTCACTTTCGACGTGGATTTCCCCACCTCTTTGCCCAAGGCAGTGAAGGAATTCCTGCGCGAGAAATTACCAGCTTGAGAAGGCGAATAATAAATGCTGACAAGCCTGAGAGCAGCAAAAATGAAGAAGAAGAAGTGGAGCAGAAGAAAGATTATGATGATGAAGAAGAAGCGAGAGGAATTTCCTCCCAACAGTGTCTAACCCCCAGGTCGTCTCGAGTGTCGGTGTCTCCGTTTGTTCGGTTTCTTTTCCGTCTTGTGTCGAGAGCGAAAATAATTCTTGCAATTGCTTTTTTTTTAAACCGAGTTTCTTCTTTTCCTTTCTTATAAAAAAAATAATAATTTGATCGAAATTTTGAGCAGCGTTTCAAAAATTCCCGAAGTTATTCCGCGACAATTTGAGTTCTTCTCTGTGACGCGAATTATTCCATTGTTGAAATCAAAGCCAAATTACAATACTTGGCGTACTTACGTTTTTAAATTTAAATAAGAAAGAAAAAACTGAGAAGAGTGAATTGCAGTTGTTCATATGACCGAAACAAATTATTTTCTGTGTACCTGATCCAAGTTATTCCGCATTAATTTGAGTTCTTCTCTGTGGCGCGTTTTCTTTCATGGTTGAAATCAGCCTGAACTGCGTTAAATACGCACATTCGTTCTGAAATTTCAATTAATTTTTTTTAGTGCTAATTTTCTTCTATTACTTGAAAAAAAAATGGATCGAATTTCGAGTCGAAAAGTTTTCAAATGCTCATGATGGAAAGAATTAATTTTCCGGGAACTTGATCGAAGTTATTCCGCAATAATTTCAAGTTCTTCTCTGTGGCGCGAATTTTTCCATTGTAGAAATCACCGCGAATTACAATACTTCGCATGATTACGCGTATTGAAAATTAAATGAAAAACACCGAGAATTAGGCTACAGTATTTAGAAGCGATTTCCCGACGACTGGGAATGGATTTTATTGATTATAATTGAAGTTCGTTCTTCAATGACTCGTGCGTGTTTTTTTCGTAATTTACCATTGCGTAACATTATTTTAAATTTCAATATCAAGGTCATCGAAAGAAACGAAATGATGAGGCGAAAATTTAAAACTTGGTGCTTCTTGGATCTTGAAAAGGAAATTTCTATGGATTAAGAATTAATTAGATTAATTATAATTTCAGTCCGGTTAATTAACTCGTGTGTTTCTTTTTTCTTCAAATTTAATTAATTTTCGACCACTGCGTGAAATTTTTTGCAACCTAAAGTTATGAGGTCATCGAAAAAGCGGAATAATCGAGCAATAAGTTGCAACTTGATTCCCTCCACATTTTTCGTGAATCTTGAATGAGTTTGATGCGTTTTCCGTCTAAACTCGTGCTCATGTTTCGCCGTGAATTCACGATTTACTTTTCTCCAACCTCGTGTTGAAATGTCAATCAATGATCGCTCTGACCTGAGGACCGTGAAAATTACTGCGAGATTAATATTTTTCAAACTCACACAAGATGGCGGGGAAGAGCTGTCGGGGAAGTTTCATCTTCCCTGGTGGATTTTGGGGAAAGAAAAATCGATTTTGAAAGAAAGAGGTTCGCTGTTGTGCCGCGCAAAGGGGAATGACCAAACGCAAAAAAAAAAGAAAGAAGATGGAGTTGCTAACTTTGTGTGTAGTGACGCGAGATTTAATTTATTTGTTGCTCACGGTTGCGTGTGTAGGGATTGTAATACTCGGATTTGTTTTGTTTTTTTCGAAAGATGGGGAAGGGGGGGGGGATTTTTGAGTGCGAGGAAGAAGAAGAAGAAGAAAGCTCATCCACTGCCTTTTCCACTATCCAAGGAAATTTTTTATTCGTCTTCCGGTTGTAGGAAATGTGCTCTTCTCTCACTGCCAATTATTATTATTTTTTACCCTCGTTTGACACAAGCAAAATGTTTGATTTAGCCTTTGCAAGTATTGACTGAATGTTTTTCTGGCCCTGAGATGAGCACAGTTTCTTTTTTTTTCGCGCGTTGAGGGTTCGTTTTTTTGGGATTTGGTGCGTTTTTTTGGTGTTCTTTATTTCCTTTTTAGACTTTTTGTGTTTGACAAGCATGTCTGATGCTTCTGAGCCACATGATGAAGACCTACTGGCGAGACTTGGAGCCTGTGCGAGGACAGAGCCTGGGAGACCTGTGCAGGTACTGTAATGTACTCCTTTTTGGAGAAGATAAAGTACTGTACAATATTTATTTCAATAACATGCACACTTTTTTTTTATCAAAATTAAGTGAGGGGGAAGAAGAGGGAACGCGTCGCAAGCAGGTGTACAATTTTTCAGAATTTTTAAACATTTGAGTGCTCATGATACTGTAAAATCTTGTTAAAACAAACTTGTGGGGACTTCGGAATATTTTTTTTTTAATGAATAATTTGTTATAATGAGATTTTGAAAATTACTGACTTATGAGAAGATTTTCTTCAAATTAGACCTGCATATATTTAACATCTTCCTTTTGTGGCCTTTTCAGATGTTCTTCAATCATTAAAAAACTGTGATCTTCAAAAAGAAATGTAATTGTTGATAAAAAAAAGATGCTCTGAATAACAAGTAAAAAACTGTAAATACTTTCACACTTTCTTGACTATTTCTCAAGCATACAAGCCCTTTTTAACATGAGTATTGCTGGGTTTAAATTTTTTTTCTCATCTAACTGCCCCCCCCCCTCTCACCATCATTCCTAACATGAGAATAATTTTTGAAAGAGAGGATGTTCAGGGGAATTTTTGTGCTTGATTCCACCTTAAATTCCAAGAACCAGTCACATTTTGAATAGGAAATGTGAGACTGTGCCTGCCTCCAATAGGGATGTTTCATTAAGAAATCATAACATGTTCCTCAAAAAAGTTAGTTGTACTAAAATTGGCAAGTTTGGTGTAATGGGATTTTTATAACATGTACCCTATTTCTGGTGGGACTTGAGAAACAGTTTTTTATGCTGAAAAATGTGTTGTAATGGCATTTGTTGTAACAAGATTTTACTGTAAAGTACTTGATTTTTCTTGAAAACTTTTCACTTTCAATGGAAAATAAGTGTAAGTCAGAATTTTGATCTTGATGCATTTCAGTTTTGAAACTTTGCCATTTTTTAGTCTTTAAACATCCAGTGTGTGTCATTGTTTTGGGTAAAATTTTATGCAAAATTTTAGGATTGAAAAACCAGGTGTGTGTCTAACTTGAGTGTACTTGGTACTTGATTGAATACTGTGCTCAAAAATTAGACAAATGCTTTTTAGATGCTTGGACTTGATGTTCAAATACTGCATTTGCTCAAGTGCCATGTGCCCTTGAGTTAGACATGTATCCTTTTTTTTTTTAGCTCAAATTTTGAAAAAAAAAATCATCCCTGTGCAAGATGCACACCTTAATTTTCAGCTACCAAAATTGATTTCATAGTTCAAAAACTGTATGGGGTAACAATCTAAATTCAAGCCCCAGTAGAAGTTGATTGCAATTGTGATGTTTTTGTTTCATGCAAATCATGAAATGATTCAAGGAGAGAAATGAAAAATAAATTTGAAGCCTGATGGTTTTTTTTTGTGACCCTTATGGAAGATGTCCCAATTTTGCTTGTCAAGTCAGTGGAGAATTGGGTTTTTATGTATGTTTTGCTGCATTTGCAGGCTGATGGTGCGACTGCAGCAGGGATCTGGGACCTACTGGACCCAAGTTTCCCAAAAATGGTCCAGTTTGCTGGAGTACTGACGGAACTCTGCAAGGAATTTGGTGAAATCAGTGGGGATATCATGGTAGCTGTGACACTGCATTTGTTACTATTTGTATTCCAGTCCTTAAATATGCTGCTTTATGTTTTTTTTTTATGTGTAGGATGACAAGGAACGTGACAAGATCAAGAAAGACGGAGAGACCTTTGACGCGTTGAAGAAAGAATTTGAGAGGGTGACGACTGCGCTGGACTCCTGTTTGAACCTGACAAAGGAAGACGAGAAAGTGAAGGAGAAGAAGAAGAAGACTAAGAAAAGTGTGGTTGTTTCTTCCAAAAAGAGCAAACCTGTCAACAAGAAAGTGTCAAGAAAATCTCCTGCAAAACCAGCTAGTCAAAAGGTAATCATGAGGCAGTTTTCGAAAATTATTGAAATATCTAATTTTTCGTTGGGAAAGTGATTGAAGACTTGGTTGAAATACAATTTTTTTTAACTTGCACTGAATTGGCATAGTTGAGAAAGGCAGACTTTGTTGTTGAAGATGATGTGGAAGAAGCAAAAATTGCGCAACTTTTTGTTATTCTGTTAAAGTTTACCTCCTTAAGCCACAATAACTCAAATTTTCTGCATGCATTTGGGTTATTATTTTATTGACACAGGAATGAGAAAAGTGATATTTATTTAACTTTTATGTTTTCTGAAAGAGGGTGAAACTTGTGTAAGACTGATTTGGCAAATGAAATCCTTGCCTCCAAGTTCAGCATCTTGTAAACCAATTTAAGGCCCTGATTATCCCCAATTACACTTCCCTGCAATCTTTTTTCTCCCCACAAAAATCCTTGTTTCCCCAACTCAAAGCATCCCTAACTTAATTTTTTCTTGTACCTTTGGAATTTGGAGACATGAAGAGGTTCATGTCTCCAAAGTTATCAAAACAATTGAAATTAATACCCAATTTCATTCGAATTTAAAAAAAATAAAGTCTTTTTTAAATAAATCCAAAACTATTGTCAAATAAATTTGAAATTTTAAAATCAAAACCCATAAAATTGATGCCCAACTTCTTTTGATTTTTAAAAAATAAATAGTATTTTTTCAAATGAATTCAAAATTATTGTCAAATAGATTTAAAATTGTTGTCGAACGAATTCGCAATTTTTTCAAAAGAATTGAAGTTAAAAAAATAATAATGCAAAATATTTTCAAAGCAATTAACAATTTTTAAAAATAGGTTTATAATTTTTTCAGATAAACTTGCAATTTTGTCAAATACAGTAAGTTCACGATTTTTCTACAAAAAATGTTTTAGAATAAATTGCCACATTTTTAAAAATAAATTGGCTTGTTTTAATAAATTGGCAACTTTTTTAATAAGGGTACTGATTGTTTTCTAGACATATTAGAAATACATTTTGGAAAGAGATTCACCAACTTTCCTATCAACATCCTCTAGTGATCAGTTTTGATTTTATAATAATAGGAATACAACAGAAAATTTTTTGTGAACGTTTTCCTCCGTTTTTCAGCCTCTTTCTTTGCCGACCATGCAAGAATTTAATGCCTGGGGACTGAATGCTCGCCCGCTGTTCGAAAGCGTTTCTTCAATGAACCCCTTGGATTTCTCGCAGCATGACTACATTGGAGACATTCTTGGGAAATTAGATCCATCAAACCTGGACATTCCAAACTGGGAAACCAGACTCGTGGAAAAGTGCAAAACTTACTTGAATCAACAAGAGCCCAAGCCTGAAGTTTCAATCATGAATTTTTGCCTGTATTCCACTGATGGGGAATCCACCTGGCCCTTGATTTCCCAGAGGGCCCTGGACTCTGACACGGAATACTTCATGGCTGTCACAGGCACTATTCAATCAGACTTTGAAGGAGATGAAGGATGGACTCTGGAGACTGTGTGTCACAGTTTGGTGGACTTCGCTAGGGCCAATCCTGGGAAGCTGCATGCTGAAGCCCTTTTACACCTTTTCAGGGAAGAAAGGCATCTTTTGAAGTGTATTGAACAACTTGAGGGTCATTTGGCACCATTGGGGATGAAGAACAGGTTTGGTCTCACTCCAATCATGGTGGTGGTGAGGAGGAATTTCAGTGAAAGAGTGCTTGAGGCATTGTTGAAGCAAGCTGAGGGGATGAGGGCTGTTTTGGATGCTGCTGACCCCAGGGGATACACTGCTGCTCATTATTGTGCTGCTGAGAATTCTCCTCAGCATTTGCAAGTCCTGGTTCGGTATGGGGCTAACCTGACTCTCCAGGTGAACGATTATGCGCTGTATTTATACTGTACTTGAGTAAGATGCACACCTGAATACAGTATTTCAGTCTAAAATTTGGATGAAAATGTATACCTGGGTAAGGCCTACACCCCATTTCTATAGACTGAAAATTGAAACATTTTGAAAATGGAACACATTAGAAATTCAATTTTTGACTGGTTGCCAAATTGGAATTTTAATTTTCTGTAGATTATATTTTTCCCATTCTCAGCTGAAAGTGGTTAGAAGTTCTCTATTAACATCAATATGCACTAACATTGAAAGCTTGACAATTTTATACCATGGACCCTTAGTTAATAAACTTTACATAGTTAATAACTTAACAATTAATACTCAACACCCTCTGTTAATAACCTTTACACCTCTTAGATGAGAAAGGCATCTTTTGAAGTGCATTAGGAAACTTGAGGGTCATTTGTCACCATTGGTGATGAAGAGCAGGTTTGCTCTTACTCCAAGCATTTTGATTGTGAGGAGGAATTTTAGTGAAAGAGTGCTTTAGGCATTCTTGAAGCAAGCTGAGGTGATGGGGACTGTTTTGGATGCTGATGGCCCCATGGAGATACACTGCTTCTTATAATTGTGCTGCTTTTTGGCAACCATCTTGATAATAGAAGAATGTGAAGTACTTCATAACTGTTTTCATTTCTTATAGGATGGTTCGAACAAGACCCCGCTGTATGTCGCCATGGCCAGAAACAACGAAGCCTGTATTTCCGCCTTGAGGGAAGCCCAAGGGATCGAGTACTACCCAGAGATGAACAGGATTGGGTCAGTGTTCTCAGGGTTGCCAGATATCTATGAGCCTTCACAGCCGCAATCGCACTTGGCAACCACTGGAAGCAAACTTGTTGGGTGAGTAACAAAAATCGGTTGAAATTCCCAGTCCAGTGGTTCTAAAGGACTCTCTCTGTGACTCAGAGTGACATCTGTGCAATAAAAAATTAAATAGCATATGGGAAGTTGAGAGTTGAAGGATAGATGCCGTTGGAACACAAAGACAAGCTCTTCAACTTTCTTGTAACAATTGTTCATCTTCTGCTTTTTCTCTCCTCAGTTACATCAGGAGAGAGCTGCCTGGTCTCCTCGGAATGAACCCATCATTGGTTGTGGTTCCCCCGAGGGACAATTGGTTTCCTGCAGTCTGTCCTTATCCGGATCAGGGTCGAAAATTGGGTTGGGAAGCTGAGCAAAATGTTTTCGGCAAACTACACTACGCCCTTCAACTGCTTCGTAATGAGAATGAAAACTTGGACATTGCCTTGTTCCATGGGCTGAAGTATGGTTGCAAGCTCGGGACGAAAAAGACCCCGTGGGAATCGGACATCGACTTGGCAGTCCTCTGTCATTATCGGAACTCTGGTAAGAGTCGCTAGACTCTTTTTTTGTTGCGCATTCCTGGTGTGTAGCTAGCAACAAAATTTCTTGAATAATTTCCCGTGCATCGCTAAAAACTCAAGGCGTGTTGTTTTCTGCGTTCTTATGAAATCTTGGAGATTTTAGAAACGATCGATGCTGAACCGTGAATTTAGATTTTTAGTGGACAATCCCCTCCAAAAATGTTAACCTGAATCTCTCGTGTGGTTCACTGAAAAATAATCCGTCATCGAAGATGTGAAATCGATCTCAATTTTGAGCTTGAATCGAGTGCCGAAGCGTTGATTATGTACAAGCTTGAAGTTTTCGTCTGTTAACGTCGTATTACCATCGAAGGAAGATCCGGGTTTGTTTTCCTGTGATGCTTCTTATGTAATGCAAAAGGAATCCTTTCTTTCTTATTTCCCACAGATGCATTCAGTGTACTCCTGATGGAAGTGAAGAACATCACACGCACTCGCGATATCGCGCGGAAAGGAGCCAAGTCGGAAACTCGAGGCGAACACGCCTTGAACCAAATGGAAACCCACTTGAAAGCCCTCGGTGAACATTTACAAATCGATCCCAGCAGTTGGGTCACGGGTTGCCTCGCGTTGCCCGATTTCCCCGTGAAAGGTTCTCCCGCGTCTCTAACCGAAGCCGAGATCGTATTCACGGAAGCTGCATCGAAATACGAAGGCAGAAACGTCATGTTGTGCCGAGACGTTCTCGAAGATACACTCGCGCTGAAAGAATGGCTGAGTGGGCATTTATCGCCGTGTAGTAGCGAGAGACGGGAGGAATTCCATAGGATCCTGTGTTGGGCTTTGATGTTGTGCATGGGAGTGGCCGTGAATGCCGTGGATTTCCACATGAGTGCTCCGAATGGCATCGTTGCTCTGTTGACGTGCAAGCAAAAGTCCGTGCTCACGCATCACTCGAAAAACGCGCTCTTGGTGTTGGGTGGCTCGGGCACGGGGAAAACGTTTCTGGGAGTGCAAAAGCTCAAGTCTTTGCGAGACACGGGTGTCATTTCGAAGCACAAACTCGCGTATTTCGTCGTTGCGCGAAAGAATGTCGGTCTTTGCATGGATCTACGGCATCAGCTCGAAGGAATCACGGGAGCCGAAATGTATCCGGTGGGAGATGGTTGGCAAGATGCGGATATTGAGTCTCTAGAGCGGATTTTAGATGAACTCCTCAACGAGTGCCGCGAAGGAAGAGTGTCTTGCGTGATTTTCGACCAGTTGGAAGATTACCCGGGGTTTTTCTCGTCGGAACTCTTTCGAAGAATGATGTCCATCGACGATTTCGACTTGTTGTGGTTGCTAGCGAACCCGTACGACCTCCCGGAACAAGACCGGAATCCCCTGATGACCTATCTTGAACACCAACAGGGCATCGTGCTCGACAAAAGAATAAGGAACACGAAAATCCTTAGTTCTGCTATCGAACACCTCGAGTCTTCGTTGCCCTTGCAGGTTACCTTCATCCCGGAGCCCGTGGGACACCCGGGAAACCCGTTGTTGTTTGAGTTTGTCGAAAATGACTTGGAAGTCGCCGACAGAATCGCCAGAATCATCGAGGCACTGGTTCAGAATATGCAAATTGAGCCAGAAGACATCGTAGTTGTGGTTGATGGATTCAGTGATGGCATCCTGGTGAACTTGGATGCTTATCTGGTGCAAAGGTTCCAAGTGACCAGTAAGACTGGTGCAAGTATGGCTCCTATTCTTGTCCAGTGTCCAGTGGTTGGCCCAAGGTTCCACTTGACCCCTGAGCAACTGGACAAGGCCTATGTCCAGTTCCTAGACTTCAAAGAGAATCTAAAAACCAAGTTTAAGGACTTCAAATCAAATTTGAAGCATGTGTCATCAAAAGAAGATTTGGTTTCACAAAAGGTGTCTGGGTTGCTCCTGAGAGCCATGACAAAATCTTTGGTGGACAGTGACCTATCTGACGTGACTGTGCAGGACTTGTTTAGAAACTTGTTTGATTCAGTGACTAACAAGACCCAGCTTTCCCATAAGCTAGTTCACACCCACAGGTATTTGTCTGTGTTGGAGAGGAAGGCAGTGAGAGGGTTTGAGGCCAAGGTCATTGTTGCTCATGTGGATTTCTCTGACTATCCATCTAATGGAAAGTCTGATGCTGCTCCAGATGTGGTAGTGTCAAGGGCAAAGGTGATGGGGGTGCTGGTTGTTGATGAGGTGGACAAAGACAGGATTGAGGCCATGTGGCATACAAAGGTGCACAGGTTCTTTGATTCAGCCTGAACTTTTGGGACTGATTTTGTTGCACAGTATTTGCTTGTTTATCATGTGCGTCTTTTTTTTTCAGAATTAAGAGGGCGAAAATGATGCACATCATTGGTGGGGTTTTTTCAAGTTTAGGAATTCATTCACTTGTGGAAAATGTTTGACCCCTCTTAGAACATTACTGTACTTGATCAAGTACCACATGTTGTTGACAAAGACATGCACCTTGTATTTTTAGCTGACCTTGGAAGACAATGTTATACCTGCACAAGATGTGCATCACCTTAGTTTTCATTCGTCAAAATTTGTATTTGACCAGCTGTGTTTGGAGGAAATCTTAATTCAAGTCTGCTTGAAAATCGAATTTAATGGTGATATTTTGTATTATATAATAAAGCATGGATTCTCTCTACAATAATCTTGTCCATGACAATTTTCTCTGTATAACAAATTTAGTTTGACCCTGTGCAGTTTTTCTCCCCATTTTATATGGGTGTTGTATCTGTTATGTGCAGCAAAACTCTCTCTACAAGAACATTATTTTTCAGGTCCCTTTAATTTCATTGTAGAGAGAGTCCACCTGTAGTAGTAACATGAAAATAGAGAAGTCTGAAAAAGTTTTTCAAGTGGGGAGAAAGGTTCTCAATCTTGAAAAAAAGTCACTTGAAAATGTAAACAGTACCAACGTTTGACACAAACCTCATTTTTTGCTCAAATTTTTTGGAAAGAGGTGCTTGTGGTACTTCAGTAAATACAGTACTGTATTACAGAATGTGATTTCAGTTTATAAAGAGTTGAATTCAGATTCAAGTGCAGTTCCAATTTGAATTCTGAACAATCTTATTTTTGAAATGTTTCAATTAGTCAGAATATGTGGTGTGTGACTTATCCAAGGGTACATGGTACTCAAATACAGTACTGTTTAAGTGTGGCATTGTATTTTGTAAACTTGAAGATAATTTTGGTGTTTCTCTGTTGGGTTTCTCATTTCTTGAGACATCTAATTGGGGATGTGAAGTGTAACTAATAATCTATACCTTATGTTCACCTTAAGGTATACAATATGGTGCCTGAGCCTAATAATCTGATCTTTATTCTATGTTTGGTACACATTTTTTTTTCATTCAAAAATGGGAAGGAAAGCATTCCCAGCTTTGAATTATAACCCGGTAATCTGCTTGGGTAATCCCAAGGCTAATCTGCTTTTGACCCCAGAAAAAGAAATAAGAGATTGAACAACAAGACATTTTTATCTTTTTGCTACTTCTCAAAATATTCTTGCGTTCAATTTAAGATCCCTCCGGTAAAACCATAACGTTGTTTGAGTATTGGCGCACAAAATATTTTTTATACAGATTTATTGTATATCTTGGACAAATTGAGCTACTCTCTTGGGCAATTGAATGCTTTTTTCAAAACTGGCTTGTTTTCTTTATAAATATGTAGTAGTTTTTTCCATCAAATGCAAGAATATGTGTTACAGCTTTGTGCTTATTTTTTCTGATGATGAGATTTCTAATTATTATGAGTCATTATATGGGGGTTGGGGTGAAATTTGTTTATGTCGGGCAGAAATATGCATGGATGCCTAAATGAGTATGGTGATGATTATGAACCAGCCCACCATGCTTCTCTTTCTAGACTGGCTCAAGTGAATAAATGTTATGGTACAGTCAGAAAAATTTTCAAGTCAAATTTAATGTTCCAACGAGAAATGGACAAGGTTTAGAGTTAGGTCGGCTGGGGAAACTAGCCTGATGATTTTTGGGACTGGAAAAAGTATGTTGATTTGGTATAGGGTTCAAGCTGTGAAGGTTGGAGTTCCATAGAAATGAAATGGGCATTGGTGTGGGGAGCTTGAAGTTGGGGTGACATCTATGCATGAACACTATTCATGCATGGCGCATATGGATTCCTGAACTGTAATGTTATCTGATTCTGACAGCGAAGCAACTGCAACTTTTTGATCAGTGATTGATGAATCGGAGCTTTTCGGATTATGAAATCTGCTTGCAGTGAAATAATCGCGATGGTGGTGCTATTTTTTAAATGATGTTTGCCAGTTTTTGTGGAATGAGATAAAGGGTGACGTTTCTTCGGACCGTGTCCATTTTATTTTTGCAATCGCTGGTCAACTCCGAAATTCGTCAACTCAGGCACATCTGCCAGAGAAAATATTTCTGAAACCTGAATAATTCCGGGCGTTTGACTTCGGCGCAAAGGGCAATGATAAATGGAGTGGGTGATTTTCCTGTTCACCTTCAATGAGCCTCTCTGATGAAGTCTTGGAGATAATCATTGTGAACGGTGCGACCACTTCCGATTGACTGGGAGGGAATTAGATTTTATTTCTTCCCCCCGAGGCCGTGTAACTTCCGCTTCCTGTTGTGCACCTGTATTTCCAGGTTCACTGATGCAGGAAACCCCGCGAATGAGGTTTTTTTTCTATCCGTGAGTGGGATTATAATCTATGTTTTAACGCGCTGGAGCAAGAGACTGAAGCGAATCGTGAAGTGTAACAGGACACAAAAGCAACCACTTAATTGAAAAAAAATATTTTGACATTGCCAGTGAAGGTTTTGATAATATATACAGTTCTGTGCTGTATATCGTGAAATTCACCGTGTGAACGTCCAGTCTACTTTACAGGACTCGTTAGCTGCTCGTTTGCACATTCAATTGCGCCATCGCGGAGTTCGAGGAATTAGTTGCTAGTCATAGTGTACATGTGTGCTGGGTGGACTACTTTGCTTGACAAACTTTTTAAGCGTGTTTCTGTGTTATCCTTGAAACGTCAACAGTGATTTTCTACGTTCTTCAGGTTTCATTTCCTGGTGATTCAGGCTCGATCTCCTTGCCATGGCTTTGAAAGCGGCATGTATCCTGGCCTCGTTCGTGATAATCCCCACCTTGGCATTAGAATGTTATGTGTGTAAGAACCAACTGCAAAACAGCGGTGTTTGCGATGCTCAAGCCATTTCCTGCCTTCCGGAACAAGACACGTGTCTCACCAAGCTGCATTCTGAGCAAATCTCTCGCGCCATCGAATCTCCAGGTTTGCGATTTTACGTGTCCAAGTCTTGCTCAAATTCCACCGTTTGCAACGAGGAAGCTGCTTCTACGCGAAAGCTGTGCTCTCAGTTGTGGTACAAGAACGTGGACTGCGTTTCTTGCTGCTCGCACGACCGCTGCAACCGTGATATCGACTTCAATATGTTCGTTGAGAAGGCTTAAAACTCGGCATTTATTCGGAACTTTTATGTTTTGTACTCGTGGACTGGAATAAATAAAAATGCTTTTGGTGTAGGACTCTTTCTCTGTTGCATTGCGGATTGACGCGCCCGAGGAATTCGATCTCATCTCTGCGTTATTACCACAGGTTTTTAGTGTGTCTGTGAAACTTTGAATGTCTTCGCGACGCCGGCAAAGATCATGTCATTCTCTTGGAAACTGTGACGGATTTCTCCCGATTTTTAACGAAGCTATGAAATGTGTCGGGAGCATCTGAAGACACCTGTCGTTGAATGTATTTGATCCCTCTACATGAACCCATGATTGCCTTGGAAAAATCTCGCGCATGTAAATATCTTCGAGTACTTCGAATACATATTCGAGAATATCGCTGGGTAAAGACTCAATTGTAGGATTACACACGAAGGGAAATTGAACTCTTCACACGTACAGTATTTGAATTTTGTGCCTAGGAGTGAATCGCAACATAAGAGACAAACAGAGCATCGGTAACAAAGCATGATGTCACATCAATATGTATCGCTTATTTTCTGCATTGCTGCCTCATATTCTTATGTAAGTTCCCGATGATTCGAAATGCGCGTTGCAGCGCGACGAAAATCGCCGATGAAAGTTTCAGATTACAGTACAAGGAAAATGGGATCTTCTGTTGCAGTTTCTTGTTCAGTTCGAATTCATTGTGTCACTTGGCGAAGCAGTGAAACGGATCACCTCAATAAAAAATGTCATCTTCGTTGGGTGGAGCGCTTCGATGTTTTGTACTCGGTGCTCCTTTTTTTTCTATTAACGATCGGTTTTTCATTCATTTTGTTCCCGAAGAAGTGCGATTTGTGATATGTTCGAATCTTGCCATGCACGACATGAGAAACGCAATTTTGAGAGAAGCAGAAATGTGATGAGAAGTTATAGCAGTTGATTTTCCCTGTTCAGTGGGTGTCATGATCTTTTCTGATCTTGTGTTCCTCTTGTGCAGACAATTTGTGTTGAATATGTAACGACGGTGTTCTGCAAATTCCATCTGATGAATGATGGATGAAACGAGCTTTTCGGGGATCATTTGAAAGTCTTGGAGGATTTGCCGAGATGTGGTCGCCAGGGATAGTTGTGCTCCTTGGTTGCTGGTCTTGGCACAGAGGTAAATTTCATGACAACCCATTTATCCTGGAGTTTTTTCGTGTCTGAAATTGGCGCATGTGTCAATAACGATGCATTTTTCGACTTTAAGAGCACTCAAACACTAGTCAGGGAAAAAATAATGTTACTTGCAATCCGTACGTCTGATTTTTTCCGAGAAGACGGAACTTTCTCACTTCATGATGTCGCCATTTGTTGGGAAATGCTACTAGACTTTTTTGAGATCGTCCGTGAACAGATTTTAGGGAATTTGTGACGTCTGGAAATTTAACCTCGTGATGATTTTCAACTGGGAATCATGTCCACGTCTTCGAGCCATCGAGAAACTGAATAAATGCCTTCCGTCTTAATTTTTCTTCCCAAGCCGAGTCAGTTGTTCATCAAGTGACTGAAGTGAGAGCAGTGGCTGGATCAGACGCTTTGTTGCCCTGCGTCGGGAACTTCAGTGTCTCGAATGTAGCCTGGCAACACGTGGGCAAAAGCAGTCGACCCGACAGGGTTCTTTCCAACGGGTCGCTTTTGGTTGAAAAGGTCGATGCCTTGGATGCCGGGAACTATTCTTGCAGACCCGACCTGGAAGGCACTGCGTTGATCTCTATTGTGCATCTTATCGTTCTCAGTGAGTATCGGGATCCTTTTCCGTGATTCAAATGTATTTCAGTGCGAAATTGATTTTTATGGGGCAATAACTTATAATTTTCGTGAACCCCGTTTGAGTTCACGATGTGTTATCCATTCTTTTTTTTTTGAGTGAACAAGTGCTGGTGGAGTTTTGATGCAATGTTGGTGTCGAATGTGTGTCGTTCTGTTCGTAGACGTTCCATCGAGTTGGTGTGATTATTTCATGAGTGATATTTCGTTGGACTAGAATTTAGAATGCGCTGATGGGAAGATGGAATCCCCACGAGTGTTAAATTGGATGCCATTTCTGAAGTACCGTGAATGTCGGGTTGAAGTGGACAATTTATTCAGATTTCGAGATTAGTACTTGAAGCATTTTTCTGATGAAGAGCACAACAGTCCCAATCTTTTTTTATAGTCTGTCGCGGTTTTGTGCAGTGTTGGTCACGAATTTTGACGAATTGAGTGAGTCCCCGCATAAAGAAAAATCCGCAAGAAGAAAAGGAGGAATAATTATGAGTAAAATTATATAATTATTCCACATGACGTTTTGTTTTTTGGTGCGAAAGAGGAAAGAGTTTCATCAATTTTTTTAAATGGTAGTAGAGAATTTATTTGTTATTCGAGAAAAAATTGGAAAATAGGCGTAGTTTTCATCTTTTTGTCTTAGAATTTGAGAAATTCAGGAAGTTGAGATCAGGTGTATTTGTCAAGATCGATTCAATTTTTTTTTTGGTTTCTTGGATTTCGTTGTAGAGCGAGTCCACCTGTTCCTAATTGCAAAATTGGAATATCATTCCTTGATTTTCTTTTTTTGCAGGTCCTCCATCAACAGTGGATGGTGTGGAAGCGAGAGCCGATTTAAACTACGCCACTATTTCCTGGAAACTTCCGGATCCTGAAGAGAATGTGGAGGGTTTCAGGGTTTCCTATGCTGTTGCAGCATCAGAGCCACGTTGGATCGAGCCTTCTTATCTCTTTGGGATTTCCGCCGAATCCGTAATTTTTGTTGTTCTTTGGATTTTTTTTTTGCAAACATCTTGGAGCACTTGGTGTTTATTTTTTCCTTATTTTACAAACTTTTGATATCGACTCATAAATGACGATAATGTTTGAAACGGAGATACAGTACAAGGAAAACTTATGAATATTCATCATCAAACTGAAAATTCGGAACAGGTTTACTCTCTTATTTACACTGCAATAATGTTTTCTGTTCATAAGTACTGTATTACAGATACAGTACTCTACAACAAAATTCTTTCTGCAACAAATTTTTTCCTTTTGTTCCCTTGAATTTTTATGTATAGTAAGTCCACCTTTATTCAAATTGGCAGTGACTAAGAAAGTTAAATATTTCTAAAACCAGATGCATTAGAATTCAAGTTTTTGAAACAAATAAAACATGAATAAAAATAATTTTCGAATATTTTTATTGAAAGGCTTCTGTTGAAATTGGTCCAAAATTTTCCATTAGAATCAAGTATGAGACTTGCCTAAATCCCTTAGAAAATTAGAATTGTGTATTTTTCTCTCTGTTTTGAGAGATAAAGTTGCAAGTGGTACTTGAGTGAAAATGATGGCTATCCTTTCAATGCTTCAGGTTTTCTAGAAAGTTCGGAAGATGCCCTCTTAAGTAGGTACTTGATGAATATCTGAGTACCATTGAACTTTCTCTGCAATGTAATTCAAGGGACCAGAAAAAATGGGTGTACAGAGAATTTTCTTGTCAGAACCCTTGGGACATGAGGAAGAAATCCTGTGGGACAAAATAAAGTTTGTTGTAATGATACAACTCTTGTAGAAAGAATTCACCTGTAATATTGCTGTAGCCCATGTACAGTGAACCTCTCTAAGTTGAATGTCAAGGGACCAGCAAAAAAAAATCAACTTGGGGAAGTTTTATATTATAGAGGTTTGAGCTACAATAAAAAAGCAATTTTGTTCTGGGAAACAGAAAAATCGCTTCTTAATTGCATTGAAAGGATGCTGAACTTGTAGGCAGGAATTTATTTGCCCAATCAAGTATTTTACTTCCTTTTGGAACACATCAAGTTGTTTTTATTGTTCTTTCTTTCATTTGTAAAGAAAATAATACTCAACAGGCCATAGAGAATTTGACTTACAGAGGGAGGTTTTTAATGTATTACTGTGAGACCCCCAGATGTGGACATAATTTGTGCATCAAGAGTGTCCCTAAGTCAAGTCTTGTTTTCCCGTAGACTTACATATATAATTTTTAATTGGTGTTTTTCTGAAAAAATATTTTTCAGAATTCCATGAAAAAAAGTTTGTTTACCCCTTGAATGTGATCCACTGAATATATTTTCAACCCAATAAGAACATCTGGAGCATTGAATAGTATACCAATGTATTGTTCATTGAAATGTTGACATCTTTAAAAATAAAATCCAAGTCACTAAGAGTGAAGGAAGTCTCTCTGTGCTATAGGTACTTTTTTAAATTAGCTGAATGGATGGGAAGGTGATGGAAAAAGTAACAAAGAGTTTTTCTTGCAAAGATCTTAGGGCTGGAAATATATATTTCTTGTATTTAAGCCAAATAAAAGTCAATTTTTGTGAAATTTATTGGCAATTTTAGCATGCAATGTCCTTATGTCAAGTCAGTGTCCATATGTTGGGCCATTTTTAATGATTTTTTTTTAAATGTCCCTGTCAAATTTCTCCATGTTGAGGTGTCTGCATGTCTGGGTCTCACTGTATTTCTAATAGGATTCAGATGGGAATCTGAGACAAATTTGACTTGGGGAGGTTTGAGTCATCAAGGTTCACGTGTATCACCTGGCTGCCATTGTGGGGGTGACACCTATTTAACTCATGTTGAACATCAAAAATGTCCCCATTGAGATAGAAGTCAATAGATGCAAAGAATTTTGTCTGGTGTGTTTTTGATCAGTGATCTTTGCTAGCGAGCCAATTGCTTTTTAAGCATACTGTATTTTAACACTTTTTTCTAGAATTGATGATGACCTGTTGACGAATTATTTCCAGGAAATCGTGGACATTTACCACTTGACTCCCGGAACAAGTTATATGGTGAAGATTGAGGCTTTCAACGTAGCTGGTAGCAGCAAGCCTGTAACTGTATCGTTTCGCACCTTGTTGGAAAATGGTGAGCTGACTTTTTAAAAACAACAACAAGTGAAGCATTGATTCTTGATAATTGATGGTTTGTTCGTGTGTAAATTTTTTTTTTTCAGAGAAATGTGTTGGACAAACGCCTTTGTCGGAGACGAGGAGAAACAAGAAGGACTTGAATTCTGTGGGCCTTTTTGCGTCTGGGATTCTGTTTGCTTTGGCTTGCGTGCTTGTGGTGGGGTCTGGTTTGTACTGGTGTCGACGACATAAACTGATGACGTGTCAGTCGAGTGGTACGTGGAAAAACACCGCTGACGGGATAAAATGAAAAGCATTTACATTACTTTACATATGGATAATGGAAATACAGTAATTTATTTTTACTCTACTTGATGCTGAATTGAGATTCGTCGAAATATCAATTGGAAGTTTTAAAAAATAGATTCAATTGATGCTCATGAAAATCAACGCGAGGACTGACATTTTTTTTCTAGAGGACCGTCTTTTCAGTTCACTGTCGATTTTTTTTTGTTTTTCGAATTAAAATTCAGGTGTATTTTTCAAATGTTTATTATTGTTTTTAGGTTTTCCATGTTTTTCAGGGGTTTTGAATGAGAATTAACAGTTTCAAATAAATCTCAGTTCATTATTTTTCAATACAAAAGGCTAAGAACTCCGTTGGAGCATTTTCGAAATGCAGTTGAACCTCAATATCTCAAAATTTTTCAAAGTCCCAGTGTACAGATTAAAAAACGTCTCCCTAAAGATGTTATCCCTGAAACCTCCATAACTCAAATTTTCTGAAGGCTTTTTGGCTTCGATTGACACTGGAAAGAGAAATTCAACAATAAACAACAACGTGGTGTGTTTTGAAAATTAATGCAAGACTAATTTGGCAAATGAACTCTTGTCTCCAAAGTTCATTATCCTGTCAACTCATTTGAGAATCAATGCAAGGCTCAGAATATCATCAATTACAATTTTCTTCAATTCATTTTTCACACCTTTTAATGGAAGATTTCTGATGTAACAATTAGACAAAAAACTTTTGTGCAGTCAATCATTTTATGCCCAATTTGTGGATGATGGAGATGTTTTTTGCAATTGCGAATTTAATTTTTGCGTGAAAAACACTTGAAATTTTTGAAGAGAATGTTAAATTTTTAATAAACATTTGTGCCCAAGTTTGTTGACTGTAATCGGTTTTTAAATTTGGCAGGTGTTCTGGATGACAAAGACATGGTTTGTGAGACCATAGAGCTGATCCCCAACGTGGTCGTGAACCCGAGGTTCGAACAAGAAGCAGCTCAAGACGATAACGACTGAATTTACAAGAAAGAGAGAAGAATGGAATGAAGAAATGGTTTCTAGTCAAAAGAGAAAAAGAGGTCGCATCAGTTGAGGAGGAACGACGTCATCGTCATCATGATTTGTGTTATGAACAATGTCCTCCTCCTCTGCTTGCGGCGAAACATTTTTATCTGCTTTTTTTTCCTGTGCGATGGTGTTTGTTTTTGTCAAATTTCTGAACGCAGTCATCGGAATGGAACGACTTGTGCTTGTGAAAAAAAAAAAAGAAACGGTTAACGTGCGCGGAGCAATCTCGAGAGGACAGTGATTCATTTGTGGTGTCTCAATTTTGCATCGAATTCAGCATTCCCTTGGAAAAGACGCAATGCATGGATCTTGCTTCCTTTTGAAAGAAAGAGAGGAAAATTGGGTGTCTTTCTTTCTTTCGTCATTTCCGAAAAAAATGCTGATGAAAAAAAGTAAGTACTGAACCTGTTCAAGCCAAACTTCAACAGGGACCAGCAAATTCGAATTAGCAAGGTATAAAATTAGGGAAACAAGCACAGTTGTTGTGGGAAAGAAAAGGATCACAAGAAATTGTAATTGGTGATTATCTGGGCATTAATTTGCTTCTCAACATTGATTGATTGACAGGATGCTGAACTGAGAGGTGCAAGGATTCATCTGCCAAATTTGTCTTCCACCTTCTTGCAGAATTCAAGTTACATTTCTTTTACTATTCTATTTCTTATGTCCATAAAATTATTGCCAGAAGACCCCGAAGAACTTTTGTCATTGACTAATTGAATTTATACTTACTCATTAACTCAAATTCAATAAGTAATCTGAGCCTTAATTTGCTTCTCAACTTGATTGATTGACAGAATGCTGAACTGAGAGGTGCAAGGATTCATCTTCCAAATTTGTCTCCCACCTTCTTGCAGAACAGGAGTTACATTTCTCTTACTTATCTATTTCTTTGTCCATAAAATTATTGCCAATAGACCCTCAAGAGTTTTTATTACCACGTTTTTATGAACTCACTTTTCTTGTCTGTCTGTCTGTCTGTTTGTCTGGATCAAATTTTGAAACTCAAATTTCACTCACTTCCAGACTAGCTAGCAAGCTGAAACTTTCAGGATAGCCTAGAAACTGATGACAATGCAATCTTATGTGAAAAAATTAATTTTAAGAATATTTTTTAAAAAGAATAAAATAATTATAGTAGATTTCTATAATAAAACTTTGAGCAGGTTTTCCTTGGCCCCAAGAAAAAAACCCATGGTGAACTGAATTGGTCGCAGAGGTCCAAGTTCAATCCCACCCCCTGGAACATTTTTTTTTTCTAATTAATTAATACATTTTTATTAACTCACTTTCTTGTCTGTTTGTTTGTCCGGATCAAATTTTGAAACTCAAATTTCACTCACTTCCCAACTAGCTATCAAGCTGAAACTTTCAGGATAGCCTAGAAACTGATGACAATGCAATCTTTTGTGAAAAAATTAAATTTAAGAATATTTTTAAAAAAGAATAAAATAATTATAGTAGATTAAAAAATTAATCTAAAAAACCACGTTTTCAAAAAGCAAAAAATAACCTTAAACGTGGTGTGCATGGAGATTGTTGGGAAGAAGTGAAATACAAATGAAATGAATGCGCACCACATTTAAGGTTATTTTTTTCTTTTTGAAAACGTGGTTTTTTAGATTAATTTTTTAATCTACTATAATTATTGTCATTGACTACTTGAACGTAAACTTACTTGTTCACTAAACTTCAATAAATTACTATCGACACAACGCTCAGAAAAAAGCAACATTGAGTCAGTCAAATCCAGTGTTCAGGAAACAGTTCATTACTTCGCAATGGCACGAAATCTCATCCTTCCAGCAAATTTTCTTTTTGGCACAAAAAAGTCTTTAGGCGTACAAATCATTGGTAAGTTGCGCGCAATCAATCAATACAAAAAAAATTAGTAATAATTATGTACAGCGTCGTTCCGGTTTCACAAGATCTCTGCTCCAGCCGAGAGGAAGAAACACACAAAAAAAACCTTGTATAAAAAAAAAGAAAAAAAAACTTTTGACCAGACATTTCTACACGAATGTTTCGCCTTGAACATTTTCCCAGTATCACGTGACTAGACGATTCAAAAAAAAAAAAAAAACCTGCGTTTTACAAGCCGAAAAAAATATAAATATATATATATATATACTTTATATATGTATATATATACTGTACTGCATGTATATTTTTTTAACGGACTAAAAATTCCAGCATTTGCATCGTACAGTTTCTACTCATTGTCAATCATCACTACAGCAAAAAGATCCACGTTTTCCCTTTTTCTCGCACTCTCTCGTTTTCTTTTTGGTATCTAATTGGTTTTTCTGCTTGAATACTGCGAGGATTCGTTTCATATTGAAAGCATTGAATTTCAGTAGTTGTAGTAGAATTCCCTGAGCTTGACATAGAGGCCGCAGGAGAGCAAGATTCCCGCCATTTGTATCAATCCGAACCCGGAGCCAACAGCTCTGTGGATCACCAAGTGCTCTTGGATGTTCTTCTGGTAGGCGTAGGCACAATCCTAATATTAATGCGTAAAAGAAAATGAATATCAATGTCAAATTACAACAACAAAAAATGGCGATGAAAAACTAACATCGTAGTAAACATTAGAGGGGTGATCGCGAATCCCGCAATGAAGGGTTTCAGTGCGACAACATGAATCTGGCACAAGGTTCCTTTCTGCCAAACCGCTCTTTCGCCATTCACTGTACTGCCAATCCTCAAATTTTCCAGCACCGCAACAATGGAACTGCAAAAAAAATATACACTTCATCATGTCACAGAGCTTTTTTTCAGTAAAATTATTCAACTCTTCATTTAGTGTCACACCCTGAGAAAAATCTCCCTCCACTGCATTTTAAGATGTAGTGTTGCCAACTCACTTAGTAAAACAAAAAATGTTCCTTTCCTGAGTGAAAAATGGGCCAAAATCACAAAAATTAAGGCATATTTCAAGGGATATCATGAGGTTATTCTTGAGAGTCTCGTTCACATGCTCACAATAATTTTTAAAATCCTATTGGTGGTGATTATATTTGGATGTTCTCCAAAGCGAAGATTATCTCAATAACCAGGATAGTCTCTTTGAAAAATTAAAAATCACTACATCTGACCTTGGAATTGTATGCTTTCATTGAAAGGTTGATACAAAACTGCAAGAAATAGGTCCACTCTTTTACTTGGCCCAAAACATGAAACAATTTAATATATTCTGAACTATAAAATAAATTGAAATGCAACAAGAAGTGTTCATTTGAGCCTCAAATTATTTCCTTCGGCTTTCCTGTTAATAAAAGAGACTCCACAGCACAATGATTCTAAAAACCAGCCCATAGCCCATTTCATCCTTAGTAGAAGCCATTAAATAGATTTTTCTCTGATACAATACTAGAGCCACAACATGTGCCAGGACAAATGATGGTGGCTAAATCAGGGTTTCTTTGTACATAATTATAAAAAATACTATCAAGCCTCACTTTAGTGCCTTCCTCAAATAAAGTCACAAATTTCCCTGGAACAAATCTTCTTCAATTATGGTCTTGCAGGAAACCCTGATTTAAAAGCACAAAAAATTCCTTGTCCTGGATAAAAAAAATAATTGGCCGAAATGTAAGAAATGAAGACCTATTTTTTAGGATCAATAGCAATGACTTTTTACTCAGAAACATTTGCCCATGCTTACACAAGAACTCAAAATTTTCCAAAATTTCAATGTTATCTTACTGAACCTCATCAATGAGTGTTTCCTGCACACTTGTCACAGTGGAAACTGAACTTAAACCAATAAATGCTCCACGTAAATGCAATAAAAATTACTCATAACGAATACCATCATTATTATAAATCCAAAAACATTCAAGTGTTAGACGCATTTGTAGTTATCTTGCTTAATCAGTTTTGCCAGAAGAATAGAGAAGCCATTTCACTGCATTATCCATCTCCTCATGAGAATCTGATCCATATTATTTTTACATGACACCCAATATTTTTTTATCGATTCTCAAAAAATTATCGAGAAACCGTTTCACGAAAACTCACAGTTCTTTGGAGTTGATCTATTGACGCAGTCCGATCGGAATCCAATCCATAATCTCGCATCATTGTGTTGTTGAGTGACATGGTCAGATCCAGATGGGCTTGGCCAGAGTAAATGAAAGCCAACAGGGCTGCCAACATGCTCAGCATCAATGAGACCATCAGCAGAAATATGTACTGAAAAATTAAAAATCCATATTTACTCCAGCACCACACGAATCTTTTTTCTCAAATTCAAGGGAGGAAAAAGGCGATCCAAGTCATACATAAAAAAAATTATAAATTGCATGCATTACACTCAATTCCAATTGGACCAAGTTCAACAGAAAATACTGTACAGTACTTATTTTATTGGAAGCAACATAAAAATTACTTTCAACCCCTCACACAATGGACTTAATTTGCGCAACAGTCTGTTGTGTGGAAAGCTGGTTATGCCATTTTGATTATTAAAATATTTACTTTTAACCATCAATTTTGAACCAACAGAAGTCTGTTCTGCGGATTTAGTCTGTTGCAAGGTTAGGGAAAACCACCTCCAGAGGCAGTCTGTCTAGCAAACATCCATTGCGCAGGAGGTCTGTTGTGTGGGGTTTGACTGTACTCACTGAAGTACCCCACATCCTTCAGTAAGACACACAACCAATTATTTTTGTTGAGAATAAACTGCAATATTCTGAAACTAATAGCACCCAAATTGGATCCAAACAAAAATTAAACCTGAATTCAACCAATTTCCAATTGTTTCCCTTGAAGTGCGATTTTCTGATAAAATTGATTTAAATTTTATATGACAATGCATTAGAACCATGTTCATTCTTGAACATCAAAAATGTTTATACCCACTCAGGACAATCTTCCCTCTTTTCCTTTCAATTCAATTTAGAGAAAAAGGGGAAAGTTTCATAAAATTTGTGCAGACTCAAAAAAGTTCTGCTTGAAAGACTTTTTGGCAGATCTTTAAAAAGTTTCTGCTTTCTTGCAGAAATAAAGTTGAGAACTGGAATGTCTTCAGAAAAATTAAAAATGTGGGCTTGAAGAAATGTTTCTCAAATGAAAAAAAATTTAAATAATTTTCTTCAGCAGGTGAAAATTTGTCTGAAGCATTATTAGGAGAAACACCCAATTTAAATTTGAATTGGATAATTTAAACTGCCATTGCCTTGCTGAAATTTCAGATGAAGATAACAGACTTCATTGCTACTTTTGATAAAATTATTGTGCTAAGAAAATTTCCTTTATATCATTAAAAAAAAAAAAAAAAAACTTCTGCAGACCCCTACTTTTCCTTCTTCGAACTCAAATCTATAATAAACTCATCCACAACAGATCCTCTCGAGCGTTCGTCTCAAATGAAAATCCACGTACAGTCAAAAGCAGTCTTCGGTCTTCTCGCAAAACCCCGGAGCACCCAATCACTGCGACAATCACCACCAGAATCCCAGACGAAATCAGCAGGTAAGCAATCGAAGGATACGTTCTGGACTCGATCAGATGCACAAACTCGTGTTTAGTCATGATTGTGAACACGCCGAAACCAATCACCGCTCCGGCCGAGAGAAACTTCAAGAGATAGAAACACTTGTTTGAAATAAATTGAAAGATTAGGTATACAAACACACACACACACACACTCACCAGAAAGACGAAGTTGTATAAAAACAGGACGTATTTGAGAAAGGGAACACTGCACGTTCCCTCTTCTTTCGGCTTCTGATACACCATCGTAACAATTTTTTTTTCGCGCAGTGAAGCTCTAGAGCAAATAAAATGGCAAAATTTATTCCTCTTTTTTTTTCTGCAGTTCACGAGATGTTTCGGAGCTGTTTTCGAACATATCCAACCAAACACTACAAGGGTCTCAAAAACGTTCTTGGGATGCAAATTTAAATTATATAAAATTGAGCTGAACTACAACTCCTGTTCAAAAAAACATTATTTGGCACGAGAAAAAAATGCAGCCCTGTTCTACATATTTCCAAGAAACGTTTTGCAAAAGGCACCCTGGAAATTTTTTGCTCTTAGTTCACGAAAACTCAGAAAATATTATTATTTTTTTTTTTCAAAAATAAATTGACAGCTTGAACGGGGTTTGACTGCACGAACAGATCCGACTCTCAAGCACGAATTGAAACAATCAAAGATCCAAAAGTTCAACATTGTTCGCCAACACGAACGCTTTTCGTCAATACACAAGGAGAATAAAATCATCGCGCGAAAACCCAAAACATTCCAACAGCTCAACCCCCAAAAACAAAAAGAAATTCGGTTCTTTTTTTCTTCTCCCCGTCGAAGACTGGCTTCAAACTCACGGTAACAGCGACCCGGAGTTTCCCAAAAATGTCCTGCTTCAATCGGAACCCACGAACTCCGATGAACCCCCCAAAAAGTGACCAATGAAAAAGCGCATCACACGCGCCCACAGGGAACACGATTCGCTGAATGACACGAACACTACACGATGCTCTTGCTGTCGTCACTGAGCGTATCCACCACCTGTAACGAATAAACGAGAATAGGACAAACACCGAATCAGACTCTGAATCACGACGAAGGAAAAGCCACCGAACTCGATCCACGGTTTATTTCCGATCAACGCGGAGCCGATTTCACACCGTTAACAGCGAGATTTAAGTGTGCTTTTCCTCCTTGAAATATTCCGAACGGTTGACGTAATCACATACCGAGCTGATTCCCGGCAGTCTCAAGATCATCCCGATCACAGGTACTTGTCGCAGCCACAGCAACACCATCGGTATCAAATGTCTGGAACACACACACAGCAGACACCGAACTCAAGCAATAAGCTTCGTGAGCACGTTTTCAAGAGGCACGTACTTGAACAGTAATACTGAACCATAGAGTTCAACCACCATTCCGACAAACGGCCAACCAATGAGAACAAACGCAACGCCGCCTGAGAAGCACAGCGTGCCTTTTATCTTCTGTCGGTCCGTGAAGAAGGCCAATAGGCGTTGGTGTCCCATCACGAAACCGACTCCTGCAATGAAGAGTATCTGCGAAACGGTTATGCCCAAACGAAATCCTACGGAAGACGATCTGTACGTACATTCCCCATCGCCATCAAAGCACGATCTAGCATCAAGATGATGCCGAGGGTGAAGAATCCGATGCCAAAGCACACCAGACCAACTCCGATCTCTGTCAGAGAAACGATCAAATTGTATGAACGTTCATCCACCAACAAAATGAACAAAATACTTACTCTGGACCTCCGATATCTCGAACATGGTTACGTCCGGAGAGGGTCACTAACCTAAAACACCAATAAATTAAAGAAATCCACTTGCAGGCAAGCTCGAGGGCAATCTGAAACGCGAGAGACGCTCAATGAATTCATGGAATGCCACGAAGACTCAGAAATCCAATACCTCCCGAAGTTTTCAAATGGTTCTACGAAGGGCACGCTTTCACCGCGCGACAGGCTGATTCCCATCTGCACCTTCAAACTCACGGAGAGCCAAAAAGCTAAAGGCTTCCTTCTAGAATTCTTCACATCATTCAGTTGGGCTAACAAAAAGTACCTTCCGAGGGTACCCGAAATGAAGTGAAAAGTAAAATTGTCGGTTTCTCATTCGACTAAAAGTTTCAGGAGGGGCAAAGACTGGATTGCATTTTAATGAGGATTAAGCGAACTACGCAATACCGAGAAAGGGAGGTGATTGATAAGCTCCCTTTTTCTCAGAGTGATACGGGGTTTCTTTTGATTAAAATTTGGGTCGACAGAAAAAAAGGAGCAGAATTGTTTCCTCCTATGCGCCTTCTCTAGATATAAAATGAACTTCGGTCAAGCCAACAATTGTGCTGCTCCACAGTGTGGCTCTCCAGTCCCGTTGCCTGTCCCATTCCTAAGATGATAAGCTATAGCAGCTGTAGAGAGAGAAAGTCTGTCTCATTCAACTTGAGTGGGTGAATAAAACCGCAATATGATTCAGAGCTACAGGACTTGTCTTCTAGAATTATCCCACGTTGAATGTTACCGGCATTGTTTTCTCAAGGTGGATGGATTTGTCACCAGAATTCAAAATGATCCCCCTAAATTCAGATTACTTCATATATGTGAACATGAAGTGCCATGGATGTATGACTTTGAATTCAAGCTTGAAACCCCCATCAGCAGCTCCATTATAAATGCCCCTGGTTGATCACCAGAAATAATCCACTTTGTGTAACTCCCTGATGAGATTGCAGATCATTTAAAAAAAATTACCCATGTAACTGTAGAGACACACTTCAATCTCAATACCTCAACCCTTCCACACCTGCTTTGGAAAAATGTATTTCAAGTCCAGCTGTCAGGTCTTTTGGAACAGTGCATCAAGAACTTCCCTTGACTTGAAGGCTTTCAACCTCAAAGTTCCATAACTCAAAATTTCTAGACATTTCAACAGATATTTCATTGATACAGGAAAGAGAAAATAAACAATAATTTAACTTGGTGTGTTTTGTAAGGAAATGAAATACTAATTGGAAAATGAATGCCTGCCTTCAAGTTCAGTATCTGACACAAATTAAAAGTAAATAAAGGTCCAGAATATCACCATTTACAAGTATCTTTAATTCTGTGTTTCACACAGCAAAAATGCTCATTTCCCCAACTCAAAACCTCACAGAGCTGATTTTGTTTTAGCTGGTCTGTTGAAAATTAACACAGAGGCTTGACTACACTTATTGTCACTCAATTTCATAAATACTCCTGGCACTTCATTCTCAACAACTGTCAATCTTTTTCAAAACATAATAGGGTAATACATACCACATATTTTAGGGTAACATAATTGAACAGCTTCATTCACCAAAGTCCTGCTGTGTAAGTATCCAAGGGAAATACTTGTAAATATACACCCTGTATCTTGAATGCCAAGCATCCATTCCTCAATCATCCTTCCAGAACATCCACTAGGTGCCGCCTGAATCACCAACCTCTAAAATGAAACACAGAATGAGGAAATGCAAGTTGATGAATAGTTGAAAATACCGTACACAGAAATGAATGAAAGAAAACAACCACAACATGGAGTAACCCGGCAAACTGGCCTTGTTCGAACACCATCAGGGAATCGACCCCTGAGAGCAACTCTGCGATCAACACACACAAAAAAAAAAATCGAAGAAAAAAAAAAACACGACACCACAGGTACCACGCATTTTTTTTGCCAATCCCGACATTACGCCAGGCACATTAATAAAGAACAACCTTTTGTCGAATAGACACAGGGGGGGGAAAAAATACAACTTTTGAGCATGACCAGGAAGCATGCCAATATATATATGCCTTTTTTTCGTGTGTTCGTGTATGTTTGATTCAACGCGTCGTTGGCAGTTTTGATGAGGGATAAAAGTGTGACACAAAAATACAACGCCAAAGGTCGGGGTTATATATATATATATATATACTGTAGTAACAAGCCTCTGGTTTCTTTTTCTTTTGTTTTCGAGCTGATATGAACGAGTTTTCTTCTTTTGTGACTACGTGTGTTCCTCTTTCATTCTCGCTCTCTCTCTCTCAAGACGACGAAAACACAGTCTTATGAATTCCGACACTCGAAAAAATGAATGATTTTTCAGCGTAAGATCAAGAAAGCTTAAAGCATAATTTAGTCAAAATGAACCCTGGAACACTTCAGAAACCATGGCGACAGATGTCACTCCCATGTTATTATGAAGCTTGGGCCACAGTGAGTCCCCAAAACTAATTCCTGTATTTCTCTGGTTCTGTGGCATTTTCTTTCAAATGAAAAACGCAATTTACTTTGAGATTCATTGCAAAAAATTCAATATCTTGCAAATTCCGAAATAAAACATAAAATTTGTACGTTTTTCAGCACATAAAGTGAATTTAAAACTGATTGGTGTGAATAATTTGGAAAAGTTTGAGTGTTAAGACTTCTGAAATTAAAAAAAAAACTTTTGAAGACCAAGAAGCAATTACTTCGTCATTTCTTTCAAATTTGCAACAGATTTCAAAGTTTTAATTCACTCTTTTTACCTATAACATTGCATTTCTCTGTGAATAAGTCAATGCCTTCCAGAAACTCATAAAAAAAGATAAAAAATAAATTTAAAATTGATTGGTATAAAATTAAAGCGATCTGAAAAAGTTTGAAATTTTAAATTTCTGAATTTTAAAAATTTTCAAGACCAGAAGAAGCAAAATCAAGCAACTATTTTCTCAGTTCCTTCAAATATTTAAAAAAATTCCACAATTATATTCAAAATTTGATGAAATTTCAAATTTCAGCATTTTTAGACCTAATAATGTCGTCAATTTCGTCACTATAAACTCCTAGAAAATTTCCGGAATGCCAAACTTTCCTTGTTTACTGGTTTTTCGTTATACGGGGACCCACCGTAGAGGCAAAACGACGCGCAAAAAAAAAAGCGGATCATCACAGTTCGAACAAAATAACTTCCAACTCTGGGAAAAAATGAACCTTAAAAAATAAAATTTTAGAATAAAAGAATAAAAACAAAGATTGCATCAAAAAAACGGAAAAAAACGAACCAATATTCCCACGACCCTTTTTTTTTCTTCTTCCTTTTGAGGCAACCCAGTTAGTTGTCAACACTACTGACAGTGCATAACTTTTCCCCCTTTTTTGATTCTCATTGTCATGGCGTCGTCAAGAACAGCCGCTTCCTGATACTCTGCAACCTTTTTTCTTATCTTTTTTTTTCGATTTTCCTCATTCATTTGCGAATGAGGAAAACAAATACACCCTGTTTTCTTTCCTTTTCCTTGTTTTTTTGATACCAAGTAGCAACAACAATATGAGAGCAATCAAGGTGAAATGCAACATCCAAAAACAAATTCGAATGGGAAAAAATATATAGAAAGGGACATTTTTCTCAATTTTTGAAGTGCGAACTTTGAAAGACTTTCCACATTTTTTTGGTCTTTCAAGGTTTATTTTTTTTTCTCCATCAATGGTCTACAAATGTGTTTGTCTCTGTCCTTCAGGAATATTAAAAGTTGTTGCAAATTAATTTTAAATGATATCAATGCTACAGGGATTTAAAAAAATCGAATGTCTCCAATTTTCATGGAAATTAATTTTGCATTCACTCAAACAGTGAAAGTTTGCTACTTCATCCTGTGCAAATAAAAATCACTATTTGCAATCAATCTTCCTCACATGATTTTCCGATTTCCAAAAAAAAATTCAAAAGAAAATTCAGGGGATATTTTCTGGAATTTCAAACACACAAGGATTGTCCCAATGACATTAGACACAGTATTTCTGACATTGTTGAAAATTTTTCTCCATTGATGCTTCAGGCATTTTCAATTTGTTCTCCATATTTTAATTTTTTTCTTCAGGAAAATGCATGATCATAAGCAAAAGCTTTTCAGCCATGACTAGAGTTCATTTCAAGGTATGCTGAAAACTTTTCACAAACATTTGAAAACTGAAACTTTGTTGTTGTGTAGAATATCATACTTGGCACATCTGGTGAAAATTTCAAAATTGTTTGATGATTCGTTTTCTTGTGATAAATAGAACAGGCAAAACTTTCTACAGAGGCGAGAATTAATTGAAAATATCACCAATTTTGTTTTCCCGCAAAAATTTGCCAGAGATAATTTTTCCGCATTACAATTTGTTGAGGGGATTGACGGTTGACTTTAATTCCACAATTTGTTTACATTTTGCGTCAACACAAGGGACAATTTTCATTCACTCAGGAATTGCTACAACGGAAGCTCAGAAAACATATTGCTGCAATTTTTCCTTTTTTTTTAATTTAGCACATATTGTGCAAAAATCCATTACGGTAACTAAAACATTTTTTAAATCAAACGTGGATGTAAATTGCTTGAAACGGGAAGTTCTGAAATGCATGTGCATTCGTTTGAGCATTTCGAGGGAGTTCAGTTAATGTGAGGTAATTCAGAGGAACCATTATTTATTTTCCTAACTTTTGGATAATACATAAAAAGACAATTTTACAGGATTTTATCCGAAAAAACAAAAACGAAGCCTGATTTTCCAAGTAGAACGTTCTTTGATTCAAAAATTTCGTTTGACTTTCGCAATTCTTCGCAAAAATGAATTTAGCAGCATCACTTTTCTTAAAAAAAAAAAAACGTGATAGGTCTTGAATTTTGTTCCTCCTTCACAAAGAAAAATATTTTCAGGAGAATTTTCTAACCTTCTTCATAGAAACACGGGATGTATTAAATTTTCCTGGTTTTTAATAAAAGCGCATAATTTTATTCAATTTGAAAATGTTTTAATCCTGGTGGCGAATTGAAAATCAGTTGAACATTCAAAAAAAATTTAAATCAAAGACCAAAGATTTTTTGTTCGGGCTGCAGAAAA